CTGCTTCAAGAAAATCCATGTGCCCAAGGGAAGAGGTGTGTAGAAGAGGATGGCTGTCGTTTTTAATTTTTACAATTAGCAACCATGCATATTTGAAAATGTAAACAAGTGAAAATGCCTTCTGGCAGTTCCCTCACTACAAGAAGTGAGGTTACAGGTAAGCAGGCAGAAGGCCTTCTGGGTAGTGGCGCCCACCCTGTGGAACACCCTCCCTTCAGATGTCAAGGAGATAAAGAAATATCTGGCTTTTAGAAGAAATCTTAAGGCAGCCCTGTTTAGGGAAGTTTTTAATGCTTGATGTTTTATCTTGTTTGAGTGTTTTGTTGAGAGCCGCCCAGAGTGGATGGGGAAACCCAGCCAGATGAGTGGGGTACAAAATTAATAATAATAATAATAATAGCTGGATTAAGGTAAATTCAACAGTATAAAGTAAAATGAGGTAATATAGAAAGGTTGTAATGGAATATGTCGTAATAATGGGAAAATTAAAAGAACCATGGAAGGAGAAGAAGGGAAGTCAATGGGAAGTCAATCATAATGGTGGATATGTAACTGAAAATTTCAATAAAAATTATCATAAAAAAGAAGAGGGTGGTTGTTGCTGTTGGCAAAAGTCAAATGCTCCTGATATTCTCTGTCATGAAGCTGAGGAAGACCTTGAAGTTACATATTGCATCTAGGATATGGTCAGTAACTTCTGGTCCCTGAGTGGGGCAGACATCGTGAGTTTGCTCCTAGAGTGACTACAGTGGCCAGTCTAGATAGGAATCAAGGCATCAGTTTCTCCAGAGAAAGTCACTTTCTCTTCTTGTGTGGAAGTACAAAAGTTTTCTCCTAGTGGCACCTGAATAGGCGCACCTGAGCTTGGTGGTATTTTGCTTTGTGAACATAAGTATCTTCTGCCATAGAGCCACTATTCTCAAAGCCTGAGCCACTCTTTCCACATAAATAGTGCTCTTAAAAACAAAACACATTTTTAAAGGTTCCTTTTGAAGCAGAACAAAGTTTATGTTTTGTTTTGAATAGCACAGAGATGGGGCCCAATTTTTGATTCTCATTTAGGTCAGATTAGCAATTTATGTTTGCATTGCAGCTATGTTGAAAGCATATTTTGCACATGCACACATACAGATATGAAAGGATTGTGTTAGCAAGTGTCAAAAAAAACAACTCCTACCTTGTATTCCTGGGCAGCCTCTTCCTTGATGACCACAGTGTGTGATTTATGTTCTGGGCATCGCTCACAAACCAAACACACCAATTCTTCATCTTGTTTGCAGAACAGGTGGAGATTTTCTTTGTGCTTCTCACATAGTTCCTTTCTCTGGAGTTTGATTCTTTCTACTACATTTGCCAGCTGCCAATTGGGGCAGAAATTCCTGTTCCGGATCTTGTCCATGCAGGCGGGACACTTGCAGTCCCCCATGTCAATTTCATCCCGTACCTCACAGTGCTTGGTGATGCAGCCTAGGCAGAAGTTGTGGCCACAGTTCAAGGTCACGGGGTCTGTCAGGAGGTCCTTGCAGATGGGGCACAAGACTTCCTCTTTTATGTTCATGGATGGTGGTGCTGAGGCCATGACGGATCCAGAGTATGTGGCTTTGTTGCGATGAGAGGCGGCTGCAGGATGGCAGTAGAATGTGAAGGGACTGGGGAATGAAGAAATGTCTGTAAGGTAAAAGCTGTTCAGCATTAAGCATTTCCACATCCTTCCAGAGAAACTAACTCTGCATTTCACTTTCTTATGCAATGAAGCCTCCACAATTGGTCCCACTGCCTGAAACTCATCTATAAAACCAAAAATCATTTTCCACACTCCTTCACCTAAAATATCACCTTACCCGTATGGGTCCACTAGAACACTCTGATCAGTGGAACTGACACTTTTACAGGTGCCACATAATACCCACACTGTATATGTAAGAACTCAAATGTTTAGTGCGATGGCAGAGATACTTGTGGAACCTCCTGCATGTTGATAGGGGGAAGGTGCCTTCACAGTATTAGTTTCAGTGCCAGTTGATGACATTCTTATTTAGACAAGCCTACCTAGCAGTTATAGGGACGTGGGTGGCGCTGTGCGTTAAACCACAGAGCCTAGGACCTGCCAATAAGAAGGTCGGCGGTTTGAATCCCCACAACGGGGTGAGCTCCTGTTGCTCAGTCCCTGCTCCTGCCAACCTAGCAGTTTGAAAGCACGTCAAATTGCAAGTAGATAAATAGGTACCGCTCCGGCTGGAAGGTAAACGGCGTTTCCGTGCGCTGCTCTGGTTCGCCAGAAGCGGCTTAGTCATGCTGGCCACATGACCTCCCTTGGCCAGCAAAGCGAGATGAGCGCCGCAACCCCAGAGTCGGTCACGACTGGATCTAATGGTCAGGGGTCCCTTTACCTTTAACCAATCCGTAACATGGCTCCTTACATCTTCCACTGATTTCAATTTAGGTTCCCCCCCTGTAAAGTACAACAATTTCCTGTAAGTTACCCACTGTCTATCCTTATTCACTGTCTTGATTGTAATGGCCTCAATAGGAGATAGCCATAGGTGTATTTTCCTTTCCAGCAAATTTTTATATGTCTCCTAAACTCTATACAGATTCTTCCTAAGAAGGTGATTCATAAAACTCTGGGTGGCTACCAACAGAATATTAAAATACAATAACCTATTAAACATTAAAAGCCTCCCTAAACAGGGCCGCCTTCAGATGTCTTCTAAAAGTCTGGTAGTTGTTTTTCTCTTTGACATCTGGTGGGAGGGCGTTCCACGGGGCGGGTGCCACTGCCGAGAAGGCCCTCTGCCTGGTTCCCTGTAACTTGGCTTCTCGCAGAGAGGGAACTGCCAGAAGGCCCTGGGCACTGGACCTCAGTGTCCGGGCAGAACAATGTGGGTGGAGACGCTCCTTCAGCCCACATTCGCTCAGAGTTGAAGCTCTCAGCTGTCATCTCACTCTAACACAAAATGCAAACACTTCTATTTCTGCACATGATGCTATCTGGGAACTCATATGGAATCCCAGTTTCAATACTATCTATGCCTGCAAAGCTTTGCAGTGGGCATAACTGCTTCATTTCTGATCAGCCCTGTTCTCATACGTCCTGCTGAAATCCTATAATTTTTCATACCACATATGTTATTTGATGGGGGGGGGGTTGTCCCCTTTTGTTCCATGACATTTCAAGAGTCTGGAACTATTGCAAAATAATTCCTAAGCGGTGTGGATGTGTGGGTGCTTTAGCGTCAATCCATTACTGGAGCACTATAACTACATCAATGATACGTTGCAGTACACACTTGCAAAAGCCCTCCAGTATAGAGGGGTCCCTCAACAGCCTGCTAGGGAGGTTTTGGAGCTTTTCTTTAATACTGTTTCATCTTTTTGGCTTTCATATACCTCTCAAATAACCATGTACTCTGGGTTGTCCTTACATTAATATCAATAAAGTGGAATATAACTGATTTAAAACCAATAGAAAAATTGTACTAACAGTTACTACAACAAAATAGTATGAAACCATAAAAAGCATAAGATCACGAACAATTCATACAGCACTAAAAACCAGCTAGAGAGAAAACAAAACTTATAAAGTATATAAAGTCATATTTACATAACCTCCAAGTGTCCTTATTTTCCAGGCACAGTCCTGGAATTACAAAAGCCATCCTGGCTTTTGATTTGATCCTGGGATGTCCCTATTTTTCTCAACGGCGCTGCAGCTGATAAGCTTGGCAGGAGGATTAGCCAGCACTTGTTCTGAGCAGTGGTGAGGGCAGTGGTAGCTGCAAGGGAGCATCCTATTGCCTCTCCGTGGCCACCACCGCTGGCCTCATAGCATGTTGAACAAATTTGCCCCAGGGATCTTTCCCAGAGGGTCAATTGCTCTGTGAGAAGAAGGAGTCTGACACCGAGATCAGGCCAAACCAAAGTCCAGCACTTGACTGATCCCAGCCTTGCAAAGCAGTTTGGGGCTGCTGTTGTTTCAGCAGCAAGGGGTACAAGTAGTTAGCCTTGCCCAGGGCACAAAATAATCTGGAGCAGGCACTATTGTAGGCATGTTCACCCATCAAGTTCAAGGGTCCCCTTCCCTCCTATCCTCCCCAATTCTCCTTATGGGTGCAATAGGACGGCCATCCTTACTGGAAAGCGAACCCTCCTGGTCCCAATCCTCAGTCACTCCCCAGCACCACAGCCCCTCCTGGAGCGGGACTCCCAGCCCCTCCTTCCTATGGGGAGCAGCGGAGACCCAGGCCTGGCAGTGACTCCTCCAGTCTGTAGGAACTGGGCAGGTATGGTGAGCCCCTCCTAAGCCAGGAAAAGTCCACTTGCCCTCACCCCAGACTGTGGGACCAGGCTGTCCCTTGAACCAATTTGTGTGTGTATATATCCGACCCATGGTCTGAAGACTTACGTGAGAAGTAGGTGCGTGAAGACAGAAGAGCACCACCAACATTTACCCCGAAGTTGTTTTGTCTGAAGGACAGTGGCAGCTGCTGCTGCAACCTGATCCACTCAGCCATAGCTGTCAAGCGTCACTTATTTGGCGAGACAGTCCCTTATTCCCAGTGCCATGTCCCGCTGCTGTCCCTTATTGATGAGGCTTCGTTTGGCTGCTGGCTGGGCTTTCTGCCTTTGGCTCGGAGGGGCTCAGAAGTTGAACATACCTGTGCCCGGAAAATCCCTTATTTTGGCTGCTGATCCCTTATTTTGGCTGCTTATCCCTTATTTTTGAGGCTGCTGGTCCCTTATTTTCAAATCTGTAAGTTGACAGCTATGAATCAGCACGTATACCAGACCTTTCCAAACTGTGCGTTGTGACTGAGTGTGTCAGCTGCAGTGTGTAGGTGTGTCACATGAACGCCCCCGCGCTCCTGGAAAGGTGTTAGTTTGACCCGGGGGTCCTCAAACCTTTTAAACAGGGGGCCAGTTCACTGTCCCTCAGGCACTGTTGGGGGCCAGACTATGAACAAATATGAACGAATTCCTATGCACACTGCACATATTTTATTTGTAGTGCACAAAAATCAGGAAAAACAATACAATACAAATATTCCCAGCAGTGGAAATAAACAGTCCTGCTTCTCTACCTTTGAAGGTGACTCCGAAACTTGCATATTGGTGAAAGTACCTTATGCATACTATTGCAGCTAATTGCTTCGCAAAGATGTATTAGGAAAAACAACATACAAAAAAAGTGCATTTTAGGAGAAACACAGACTAAAATGGTGACAAATTTTCAAGAGTACCTTTTCTTGAAAAACATATTAAAAGAACACTAATGTGGAAATGTGGAGAACTGAAAGTAAGATTGCAAAAACAAGACACCAAAATGGACGGATTCAGCCATCCCTACCAGGGAGTAAATCCACTGAAAGCAGTGCAGTTACTTCTGAGGCTTTCTTCCCTAATGTGTCCATACAATCATATGCATGCCTGCTCAGAGGTAAGTCCCACTGAATTCAATAAGGCTTACTCCCAGGTAAGCACACAGGGAATTACAGCCTTTGGGGCGGGAAACCTGACTAAGCTCACAAAGCTCACTAACTTAACTGCACGAATGCCAGTGTGCTTGGAGCCCTTTGCACAGGAGTAGGCACCACTGAATGCTGCAGAGGTTATGCCAAAGCAGGCACCTTTAGGAAGCCACCAGCGCCAAAAGGAGGAGCAAAATGAGCAGCTCTGCATACCCAGTGCCGGCATGACGACCCTGGGCCCGGCTGGCCATGATGCCGCAGAGGGAAGCAGCAGCAGCAGCAGCAGGCGGCTGGCCCACTGGGCAAGGCGGTGCTGCGCTGCTCGGCTCGGCTCCTATCTGCGCCCCCACGGCAAGCCTGAACAGCCTCCGTGCAGGGTATTGCGCCCAGCAGACGTACCTGTGCGGGGAAGGGCGGGGCTAGCAGAGGGGGCGGGGCTGGAGGAAAGGAGCAGCTGGCATGGCCCTCCCACCCTGCTCCTGTGGAACTTGCTCGCCTTTGCATCCCACAACAGCCCTGTGAGGTGGGCAGGGCAGAGAGGTGCACGCCCAGCCCACAGAGGATTTGGGCTTAGAGGCAGTGTGGCCTGGGGGTGGGCCGGGTTCAGGACACTGGTGGGCCAGATGTGGCCCGTGGCCCGTAGTTTGAGGACCCCTGGTTTAACCTAGTAAAACTGAATTACTGTGTTGCAAAAGGACGCATGTCTAAAAAGTATGTCAGCAAGGTGAAAAGTTTGGAAAGCTCTGGTGGATACTATAACAACAGCCTTGCTCATGGTGGAACGCTGACATCAAGTGGTCCCCTGGAGAACTGCACCCAGCGTGGTCTTCATTGGAGGAATGAAACCCCACAGTCCCTAATTAGGAAAAGGACCGAGGTGCAGATTTCCTTCCCTTGCTGTGTCAAGGGTCCCTCCAGGCTGGTGTATTCTGCAGCATGTTCCTGACACAGTAAAAGGGCACTAGCACTGGGGAGACTGGGCCTTTGGTCTGCTGAACTCCCTCCCTCCCTGGTTGTTGGACTTATGTGGATCTGGAGAGAGGGGGCAGGGAGGAAGGTGAAGGGGTGCCTTCTCCCTTCTCTGAAGCACCTCAATAGCCACCAAAGAGAGAACAAGAATGCTAGCTGCTGCGCTAGAGGGGCTGAGAGAGCCCTCCTGCTACCCCTGGGAACTGTTTCCTCCCTTTGCTAGGCAGAAAGACTTAAGAGGCTTGGAGACATCTCCACTACCCTGAACACTTAACTCTCCCCCTTATTGTTGGACGGGTGCTGCACATGTGGGGCTTGGAGAGACCTCTTGCTGTGTGGGGAAGTGTGATCTGGTGGGACGGCATTCCACAGATACTGAAAAGACCCTCTTTGGGGTAGCATCTCACATCCAGGGTGGGGGCCAAAGGGACGACACCATGTGGATTATAAAGGGCAGACTTGGCCAAGTGGCTGGACTAGACTACAACTCCCATCAACTCTGGATTCAGTGAAATTTCTCTCTGGGGGAGTGTGGAGATGGGGAGGCTGCATTTGCAAAGGGTTGGAAGTTGGGGCCTCACAGACAGTCTTCTTATTTCCTTCCTGCCTGCCTGAGATGCACAAGCTGTAGTTGCAAAAGGTGCCTGGAGGGATTGTTCTCCAGTGATCTATTAATCAATGTGGGCATTTTAACAGCTGGTGGAGGTCCTGTCATGAGAGGAAGGTGAACAACAGAACCAGGATCGCAGGGGGTGGCAAGTGAATTCTTTGGAGAAATAGATTGTTTATTGAGACGGTTAAAGTGTTTCCCTCTCTTTAAGGACTCCACTGCAGAGGGAATTCTGGGAAAGCGGAGGGAAAAGAAAATCCCAGATTTTGTTTTGTCGTTTCCTCCAAGTGTGACTGGAATGACTCCTCTCACAGGGCACCTGCAAAGGTGTCAATTCTGCTCCTAGCAGGAGATCCTGAGGTGGGTTGCATATCCCCACAGACAAAAGAAAGGGAGGAGGGTCTCCCCAAAGAACGAGGCTCCTGAGAACGTGTGGAGTTCAGCCCCTGAGTCAGCGTCAGAAAGAGACACATATCCCTCTTCATAGTCCAGAGTCACCCGGATCTTCCTGGGCTCCTCACTCAGGGACAGAGGAGAGGAATAAGAGGTGCAGGCCTTGTATTCACCATTCCACTTCCCCACAGCCCAGATGCCTCTCTCAGGCCTTAAGGAGAAGGAGCACTTTCTCTCCACAGACTTCCTGGCGACCCCCACAGCCCACCATTCCTCACTTCCCACATTGACTTCCCAGAAATGTCTGCCTGCTGTGAATCCCTCACATCCTAACACACAAGGCTGGTTATTGAATCTCTCAGGATTGTCGGGCAGGTCTTGCTCTTTGTCTCCCCTTCTCAAGCTTTTCCGATCCTCGGACAGGATGAGTTCAGGATGGGCTGTGTCTGGATCCAGAGTAACATTTGCTGTTGAGAGAAGATGAGGAAAAGAGAAGAGAGGCAGAATCAGCCAAGAGACCCTTCCCTCTTTCTCCCAGACTAACCTCAGAATAAATACCTTCCCTGTGGATTTTTATCTACTTCTTTTTGTGCCATTTTACTCAACATATTTTATAGTGTCCATCCTGTCAATTCAGTCACCCTTTAAGAAGCAAAACAGCCCAGAAAATATTCCCTCAGCTCTTCTATGCAGTGAAGGGGAGGAGGGGAGGATGGGGGCAAGAGGGGAAAATTGTCCTCCTTTGAATCTCTCTGTGTGACTTGCCCATTTGGGGCTTTCAGAGGCTTACATGGACATCAGGGGGAATAAATCAAATTAGACAACCTAACAAGTTCCCTTCCTGTGCGAACCTCCAGCATTGTTTTCTTACAACCATGATACCACTACACACACATTTGTTGTCCTAAAGGAGGCTAAAGTCTACATGACTAAGAGTTAAAAGATTTTGACCTTGGCAATAGTGACTGCAGCCGCAAACGGAGGATCCTCCTTCTTGTCACCCCCGCAAGCATGAAACCCAGGGCGTGACCCCCCCGCCCCCCGATGTGACGCCACTGGGGAGGAGAGATTACCCCCGAACCATCAACCTTCCCAACACAGCCATAGCCAACAAAACCTTTTAATCACGGTAATCTAAACTTGATTTTAATTCTGTTAAGTCATTCTTTGTTAATAGTTTATTTGTATATTTCATTTCTTGATGCTTATATACGATGTACTTCAGTAGAACAATTGGAAAGAATTCCTGCTCACCCCTTCCCACCAGGTAACTGTGTGCTCGGCCCACCCCCACCTGGCGGGCCAAGGGGCTGCCGGTGGGATGTGTGGCCTGGAGTAGGTTTGGAGGACTAATTTTAAAATATATATACAGTGGTGCCTCGCAAGACGAAATTAATTCGTTCCGCAATTCTCTTCGTCTTGCGGGTTTTTCGTCTTGCGATGCACGGTTTCCCATAGGAATGCATTGAAAATCAATTAATGCGTTCCTAGGGAAACCACCTTCAGGCCAGGTCCGGGGACAGTCTGTCCCCGGACCTCTTCTGAAGGCTGGGGGGGGGGACAAGGGCTTTTCTTCCCACCCCCAGCATTTTAAAAAGCCCTGGGACAGCGGAGGACTTCTCCGCTGTGCGGGGCTATCTTAAAATGCTGGCGGGCGGCATTTTAAATCGCCCCGGACAGCGGAGGACTTCTCCGCTGTCCGGGGCGATTTAAAAGCCCCTGGGAAGGCAGGCAGGGGGGACAAAGACTTTCGCCCCCTGCCCGCCTTCAGAAGGTGTTCCCGCCCCCCGCCCCACTTCGGAACAGCTTTCCGAAGTGGGGCGGCGGCGGCAGGTGTCCCCGGCCCCCCGCCCCACTTCGGAAAGCTGTTCCGAAGTGGGGCGGCGGCGGCAGGTGTCCCCGCCCCCCCGCCCCACTTCAGAAAGCTGTTCCGAAGTGGGGCGGCGGCGGCAGGTGTCCCCGGCCCCCCGCCCCACTTCGGAAAGCTGTTCCGAAGTGGGGCGGCGGCGGCAGGTGTCCCCGGCCCCCCGCCCCACTTCGGAAAGCTGTTCCGAAGTGGGGCGGCGGCGGCAGGTGTCCCCGCCCCCCGCCCCACTTCGGAAAGCTGTTCCGAAGTGGGGCGGCGGCGGCAGGTGTCCCCGGCCCCCCGCCCCACTTCGGAAAGCTGTTCCGAAGTGGGGCGGCGGCGGCAGGTGTCCCCGCCCCCCCGCCCCACTTCGGAAAGCTGTTCCGAAGTGGGGCGGCGGCGGCAGGTGTCCCCGGCCCCCCGCCCCACTTCGGAAAGCTGTTCCGAAGTGGGGCGGCGGCGGCAGGTGTCCCCGGCCCCCCGCCCCACTTCGGAAAGCTGTTCCGAAGTGGGGCGGCGGCGGCAGGTGTCCCCGCCCCCCCGCCCCACTTCGGAAAGCTGTTCCGAAGTGGGGCGGCGGCGGCAGGTGTCCCCGGCCCCCCGCCCCACTTCGGAAAGCTGTTCCGAAGTGGGGCGGCGGCGGCAGGTGTCCCCGGCCCCCCGCCCCACTTCGGAAAGCTGTTCCGAAGTGGGGCGGCGGCGGCAGGTGTCCCCGCCCCCCCGCCCCACTTCGGAAAGCTGTTCCGAAGTGGGGCGGCGGCGGCAGGTGTCCCCGGCCCCCCGCCCCACTTCGGAAAGCTGTTCCGAAGTGGGGCGGCGGCGGCAGGTGTCCCCGGCCCCCCGCTCCACTTCGGAAAGCTGTTCCGAAGTGGGGCGGCGGCGGCAGGTGTCCCCGGCCCCCCGCCCCACTTCGGAAAGCTGTTCCGAAGTGGGGCGGCGGCGGCAGGTGTCCCCGCCCCCCCGCCCCACTTCGGAAAGCTGTTCCGAAGTGGGGCGGCGGCGGCAGGTGTCCCCGGCCCCCCGCCCCACTTCGGAAAGCTGTTCCGAAGTGGGGCGGCGGCGGCAGGTGTCCCCGGCCCCCCGCTCCACTTCAGAAAGCTGTTCCGAAGTGGGGCGGCGGCGGCAGGTGTCCCCGCCCCCCTCCCCCCTTCGGAACATCGTTCCGAAGTGGGGCGGCTGGGGCAGCTGTTCCCGCCCCCCCTCCCCCCTTCGGAACATCGTTCCGAAGTGGGGCGGCTGGGGCAGCTGTTCCCGCCCCCCCTCCCCCCTTCGGAACATCGTTCCGAAGTGGGGCGGATGGGGCAGCTGTTCCCGCCCCACCTCCCCCCTTCGGAACATCGTTCCGAAGTGGGGCGGATGGGGCAGCTGTTCCCGCCCCCCGATTCGGAACAGCGTTTTAAAATGCTGTGGGTCGGCAGCGCTTCGCTCCCGACCCCCAGCATTTTAAAATCTCCCCGGGACAGAGACTTCTCTGCTGTCCCTTGGAGATTTTAAAATGCTGGGGGTCGGCAGCGAACGCTTCGCTCCCGCCCGCCAGCATTTTAAGATCACCCGGGGCAGGCGGGGGGAGGCAGGCGGGGGGGAGCAAAGACTTTTGCCCCCCGCCGTCCTTCAGAAGAGGTCCTCTTCTGAAGGCCGGCTGTGGGCGAAAGTCTTTGCTCCCGACCGCCAGCATTTCCCTATGGGCTTTCGTCTTGCGATGCAAGCCCATAGGGAAATTCGTCTTGCGAAGCGCCTCCAAAACAGAAAACCCTTTCGTCTTGCGAGGCATTCGTCTTGCGGGGTACCACTGTATTTAAGAAGCTGACAGGAATCTGTGCCTAGTGAGTTCCAGAATCTAATGAGATATTGAGGGCCCCTGTTGAACAGGGGATTAGCGGGCAGCTCTGTGTGCAATTACCCTGTTGGTAAATAATCAGCACGATTAAAACCAACAAATTAGAAGACGGGGGAAATGCAACAGGGAAAACCTCCTGGATGAATGGAGAAGACTGAAGTTGCTCCTCATAGATAAATTCAGGTACCATATTTACGTGAATTTAATGCTCTATCAGATCTCATGTGCACCTCAGTTTTCAACACCTTGAAACCAAAAAAAGTATTTGCGGGTGAATGTAAATGTGCAATCAAACATAATGGGCACCCTAATTTCTGCAATGTAATTTGACCATAACGGTGCACATTACATTCAAATAAACATGGTGGTTTGGGTATGTGGACTACTCATTTTATTAGAGTAGAGCAAAAGAGGCAATTAACAGTACAATTATAAAATACCACTCCCCAACCCCACCTTGAATTTGATCCTTAACCCAAAATTTACCTTTCTTAAGCAATCTGGGTAACAGAGCATCTGAAAAAGCAAAGTAATATAAAGTTTGAGAAATAGACTTTTATAACGCAAATAATTTTGCAAGAAAAATTTCACTTCATAACATATTTTGGACTAATAAAATCCCTGCAGCCATTCTTCATTACCTTTTATTTTCTCCATCTCAACATATAGAATGGGATTTGCAGCCCTGAATGTTGAGAATTTCCTCTTCAATTCTAGTGGGAAAGTCAGTGGATTTTCAGTTGTCTCCCTCTGCGCACACCTGATGGGAAAAATACATGTTAACCCATTTCAAATCCAGAATTTCTGAGAGCAGGAAAAGAAAGGAATTGAGAGGAGAAAAGAAACTGTAAAAACCAAGAGGGAGAGACAGAGGAATGGAGTCACAGAAGGGGGAGAGATTCCTCCTTACTAGGGACTCCAAAGCCAGACAACTGAGGGCCAAAGGAGCAGCCCTTTGTCTGAATCTCTTCATTTACATATACTCAAATGGAGAAATAAAATAAAATCAAGAGATTCCACCCTGCTCAGTTTTTTCCCCCCATTTCAGCCACATTGCCTCCAACATGCAAGAAAGATGTGCAGGAGATAAAGATGGTTGCTGTTGTTGACAAAAGTGAAATGTTCCTTCTATCCTGGCCTGCTCTGTTCCACGGGGTCACAAAGAGTCAGACACGACTAAACGACTAAACAACAACATCAAGTGACACCTTGAAGTTATATATTGCAACTTGGATATGTTCAGGAACATGGTAGACACCCCAACTCCTGCTCCCCGTTTTTAGCCCCACAGGTGACAGGTAACTGTGTGGGACTCTGTGGAATAGTTCCATAGATGGTCCATGGGACAGGTGTCTGTGTGGGACTGAGTGAGGCAGCCATCACAGAGTTTGCTGTTGGTGTGGCAAATCTAGATACTGTGCAGTATTATCATTAGTATTCATTTCATTTCTATTCCTCTTTATTTCTTCATATTATATTCTTTCCCAGATTACCTGTGAAGTTTCAGGGAGTGATATTAATGGAGTTGAGCAGGATCCCCTTACCTCTGCAAAGTTCTTCTAATATCCTAGAAGGGAAAAGAGGAAACTCAGAATGGAATTCACTGCCCAGCACAGGCCCTGTAATGAAGACCCATCAGCCCCTGCAATGGATGCCCTCTGGGGTGAATCTGCCTAGCATATGCCAAAGTTTTGGATAGGTATGGATGCATCTAACAGTTCTGGTTTCTCTCCATTATTTTCCAATCTTAAGTTCAGTTCTTTTTTATTTTAAATATGAAAATTCATGAGATCTCCTCTGTCTTTCCCAGGTTTCCCTACTATCTTGGCCATTGGGGAATTTATGGATAATTGTTCCAACTGAATTTATGGATAACTGTTCCAACTGAAAGAGTTCCCTTTTCTGAGATATCCTTAACTTTAACAAAGTGAGCTAAGCAGCTTACCACTACAGTGCTACCCCGCAAGACAAACGCCTCGGAAGACGAAAAAGTCGCTAGACGAAAGAGTTTTTCGTTTTCTTAGCTGCTTCGTAAGACGCATTTCCCTATGAGCTTGCTTCGCAAGACGAAGCTTGCCCCGCAAGATCCGGGGGATAGCGGGGACCTCTTCTGAAGGCTGGTGGCAGGGAGAAGAGCCATTCTCCCTGCCGCCAGCCCCGCACTCTCTGGGGACAGCGGGGAGGCGCAGTGCATCTTCCCCGCTGTCCCCGGACCTCTGCGCAGCGCGTCTCCTCCGCTGTCCCCAGACCTCTTCTGAAGGCTGGCGGCGGGGAGAAGAGCCCTTCTCCCTGCCGCCAGTCCCGCACTCTCTGGGGACAGCGGGGAGGCGCAGTGCATCTTCCCCGCTGTCCCCGGACCTCTGCGCAGCGCGTCTCCTCCGCTGTCCCCAGACCTCTTCTGAAGGCTGGCGGCGGGGAGAAGAGCCCTTCTCCCTGCCGCCAGCCCCGCAATCTCCGGGGACAGCGGGGAGGCGCAGCGTATCTTCCCCGCTGTCCCCGGACCTCTTCTGAAGGCTGGCAGTGGGGAGAAGAGCCCTTCTCCCTGCCGCCAGCCCCGCAATCTCCGGGGACAGCGAGGAGGCGCAGCGCGTCTTCCCGCTGTCCCCGGACCTGGTCTGAAGGCGGTCTCCATAGGAACGCATTAATTGATTTTTAATGCAGTCCTATGGGAAATCGTGCTTCGCAAGACGAAAAACTTGCAAGAAGAAAAAACTCACGGAACAAATTAATTTCGTCTTGCGAGGCACCACTGTACTTAGCTAAATCAGGTACTGCCAATCCTCTCTTCTGTGTGACAGTTTGCATATTAACATTATCCACACTTACTTTGCCAAATAAAATTATCCATACTTTTCTGTCAGCTTTTCAATTCCCTCAAGTCAACCAAGAGAGGAAGAGTAAGAAACAAAACCAAAAACCTTGGCAGTATTGTCATGCTTATTGCATTGCTCTTTGATTTTCATAGAATCATAGGATTGTAGTGTTGGAAGGGATTCCAAGGATCATCTAACCAAGATGATTTTAACTTACCCCACCTTTCCATATCAGGTTTCTGATGCAGCCCTTGGCTAGTGCCTCCCCCCAACACTGCCATTCCGTGGGGGGGGGCAGGGGCATGGTGGCAAGACCCCTGGCACCAGGCAGGGTGGGATCCCTGTGAGGGGTGCCTGGCTCGCACCCCCTCAAAATCATGTGCCTGGGGCTAAGGCCTCCCTTGCCCTCCCTTCACTATACTCCTGCTACGAGATGCAATCACCAACTCTGTGCCCCATTTGACAGCAGTCCATTCTACCTGACCTCCTCCTTGTCGGGATCTGCATTCGACTGAGCTGATAACGCTCATTTTCCTCTGGCCCAGCCTTCGGAATCACCCCCGACAATAATTAATGACCTGAGCCTTTGATGAGGCGCAGGCACATCCCATTCAGCAAAGAAACCAAAACAGCACGTGGAAGTGATGAGATTTGTGGCTACATGCTATACTTTATTACTAAGCTACACAGAGAGCAAAGAAAAATACATCCTCTCCCTGTGAGAGCAGAGAGGAAACTGAACAAACAATGGAACAAAGAACAGGAAACCACTAAAATCACATCCGTCTCCTGTCTCCCGTGAGACTTCCAATAGCCTGGAATCCCTGGAATGTAAACAGAGTCCTGTGACTCCAAAAGCACTGCACATTGGCAAACAGAAACTAACATCCTCCCCCTTTCTGTGAACACCACTGGGCAGTGTGTTATGTACAATCTCAGTACAAACCCAGTTTCTGTACATAGGTACAATGTTGATCCTTCGGAACAACCTTGGAAAATAAATCAGCAGGAATTTCATTACCTGGCATGTAGGACACCGTTACGAGTCCTTTCTGAACACATTCCCTAGCATGTTGCAGCTTCAATTGCAAGTGCTTCGTGCTTTGCTTACAACCTTCAGAAGTCAGCAAAGCCGGGGGCCCACTAGGGGGCGCATAGGAAGATGGCTGACAATAACATCTCTCCGACCCACAGGAGGTAATGGCTATGTTGGGAGTAATTAGCCTCCCAAACCCACTCAAGATGGTGAGTGGAGCTGTATGCCTGCTGTGCCCGATACCACCCCCGAATTTTTGAGGGGGGTGGGGGCATTAGGCACCAAACCCTCCTGTGGGATCTCGGCACTCCTGGACGCTGTCTCTGACTTGCGCCACTAGTTGCAAGAACTTCAAAAAGAAACAATTTGGCAACGAAGGAAATGCACATGCTTCAGGAAATGAGGAGGAGTGGGTGAAGACTGCAACAGAAGAGGTCTCTGGAAAAATAAGATTTAAATTATGAGAAGACACGTCAAGATACGGTATGGCAAATGACTGATGGGGGAGGGGAAAAAACGTTTTTATTTTACTATGTGATACCCCAAGAATCCCCTCCCTTCAGGAGTCAAAAGCCAGAAATGAGGTTTTAAGGACTTAAGCTGTGAATCTAAGGCTGTGTGGAGATAAACTTTCAAACCAAAGCATGTTTTTAGAAGACTGTGGAATGTATAAGAGCTTTGTTTCTGACGCAGTCAAAAATGCCGTCGACGCCATCTTGGGAAGCTCTGTCGGAGGAATAAGCCTGGGAGGACGATAGCGAAAGAGAGTGTGTTTACATCGTGGGAGAGACCCCTCTAAGAGGCTTTAGGAACGACAGAGCTATAAATTTACAAGGGAAAAAGTGATCTTATCTCCGAAGGTGACAATTTATGGGAACTAACTGGAATTGAGGATTTACGACGGGAAATCTACGCAGGAGTATTATCGGTGTTTATCGGCTTAAGGAGACCATCAGAAGAGACCATAAAGGATAAAGAGAAAATAATTGATTAAGATGATGTGGAAAGAGCAAGATATGAATACAGTGGTGCCCCGCAAGACGAAATTAATTCGTTCTGCGAGTGTCTTCGTCTTGCAGGGTTTTTCGTCTTGCGAAGCACCGCTATTAAAGGCTTAGCAGATTAGCGGTAATTGGCAGATAAGCGGCTTAGCGGCTATTAATGGCTTAGCGGATTAGCGGATAAGCAGCAATTAGCAGATAAGCGGCTTAGCGGCTTTCAGAAAAAGCAAAAAATTTGCAAGAACCCGAAAATTTTTTCGTCTTGCAAGGCAACCCCACAGAAAAATTCGTCTTGCGAAGCGGCAAAAAAATCGGAAAACCCTTTCGTCTTGCACGTTTTTCGTTTAGCGAGGCATTCGTCTAGCGTGGTACCACTGTATATGTTTGGACTGTTTGAACATCTATTTGGACTTATTTTGACTGATTTGGACATTAATGCAGTAGGAATGATTAGATCAGAACTCTTCCTCGGATCTGGAAGTATGGGACCCCCCAACAAAATTTTAAAAATTCGGCTCTGTAATTTGGATGTGATGTGGTTTGATTCGATGTGATTGGCCGGTTAATAAAATTTATTAAAAAACAAACAAACAGAAGTCAGCAAAGCCAAACATGCCTTGTTGTCCTGATAAACCTGGATTGAACACTTGAAAGGAATTCTCATGTCTTTACACAATTGTAATAACCATTCACAATCCACAAGTGAATAAGACAGTGCATTCAGTTCAGCTTCACAAGTACTTAAGCTTACTGTTGTTTGCGTCTTGCACAGCCAATCAAATAGACCCTGGTTGTACATATAGCAAACTCCAGACGTGCTTTTCCTGTCTGTAGTGTCACTTCCAAAACTCGCATCAGCAAATATCTCAAGACCTCCAGACTTCTGATTGTTAAATCTCAGTCTGTAGTGCATAGTGCCTTTCAAATAGTGTGCTATGTGTTTCAGAGCTTTCCAATCCTTAACAGTAGGATTGTTGACTTGTCTGCTTAGCAAATTAGTACTAACTGCAATGTCAGGTCTTGAACATCTGGCAATGAAGTTTAGTTTGCCTAGCACACTTCTGTACAGTGTTGTGTCAGAAAATGCTTCTTCAGTATCATCTACCTGATAACCTGTTGTCATCGTTGTGTCTACAGGGTTAGCATCCATCAGGTTTAGTTTGGTTAACACATCAGCAATTTTCTGTGACTGGTGTACTAGAATATTGCTATCTTGGTCTCTCTCTATTTCCAAAGATAGATCTTTCATGTCAAAGTGCTCCTTCAGTTGAGCTAGGGCGCTATTGGACATTTTGACATCCTTCCAAAAGAAAAGAATATCATCAACATAAAACAAGCAATACAGCTTCTTTTGCCCTTCCTTTTTGACAAATACACATGGATCAGCTTTACCTTGCTGAAAACCTAGAGAAAACAACACTTCAGTGAGTTTAGAGTGCCAGCATCATGCACTTTGCTTGAGACCATATAGGGACTTCTTTAGAGAACAAACAAATCCCTGTTTTACCTGTACGCCATCAGGTGGAAGCATATAAAGTGATTCACCTAAGGTTCCGTACAAAAATGCTGTATTCACATTGTGATGAGAAACATGTGGATTCTCTTCTGCAGCAAGTCTGAGCATAAGCCAAAGCTCTCCTATCTCACGGTGGGTGAGTAGGTCTCGTGGTAGTCTTCTCCTGGTACCTGTGAAAAACCTCTGGCTACCAATCTGGCTTTGTGCCTGACTACCTTGCCGTTTTGATCTGTCTTTGCTTTGAATACCCATTTGCTTCCAAGCAGTTTCATCCCTGGAACTGTTGGAACTAGCTCCCATGTTTTGTTCCCCTCCAAGGAATCAAGCTCAGCCTTCATGGCAGTTAACCATGGCTCAGCAACCTTCAAGTCCAAAGCCTGGACCTCTTGGAAGCTTGAAGGTTCAAATACCTTCTTGGAGCTATTAACAGCAGTTACAGCTTTTGCCGCTTTAGCAAATTCATCACCAAATCTCTTTGGAGGTCTACCTTTCGTGGCTCTTTCAGACCTGTGAATTAGACGTACGTCTTCAATGCTCTTCTCTTCTTTCTTAGGAGAAAAGCTTGGGTAGGGACTGGGAAAGCACTGACCTGTGCCTGGAAAGAGTACAGCAAAAGGTAAGTGTGGTTAAACCCTGAGAGAGGAACTTTGGGCTGTTCCTGCCACAGTCTCACCTGCAGGAGTTCACTCGCTGGCTGCTGACTCTTCTCCTCCATCTCCCGGATGCTCCTTTCAAGAGAGGAGAGTTCCGCTGAGAGTCTAGCCAGGTGCTCCTCCCTTCTTCTTGTGATCTCCTTCTCCATCTCTTCTATTTCATTCAGCAGACGCTTTTCTTGTTCTTCCAGAAACTGGTGCAGTTTTCTGAACTTCTGCATGGTCTTTTGCCTCTCAGTTTCTGTTGATTTCTGCAAGAACCAGGAAGAAGAAGGAAAAGAGGAGGAAAGCGTCTTTAGAAAGACCTTAATTTAAAATGTTATGGTAAATCAGTCAGGACTTCTCTGTTGCAGGATTTCTACATCATGACTTGGTCCTTCCAGTACATCTCCCCTTTGTAGTAATGGGGATACTTACAAGCAGTTTATCGCTTTCCTTTCCGATGGTTGCTTTATAAGTCTGAATTTTCTCTCTCTCTTTCCTCAGATGCTCCAGGTGACCACAGATGAGTGTCTAAAGAGAAAACAAAGTCTCAGTTCTGATTAGGGCTCAGGGGTTGTCTTTAATATTATGTTTACTTCTATGGCCTGGGGCCCTACTATTAGATTTTCTGGGACCGTCGCAGCTGAGTATTGCAGGACCTGCCCCCTGCCTGGCAGACAAGCCTATTTCATCTGGCCAAGGAGGACGGGATCCTGACAAAGGGGGATGAATAGACTTTTGCAGTGGGCTATGCTGCTTTCGGTCTTGTTGTTTTGGCCCCAACTATCTAAAACATTATAAACTGTTAATAATAATTATTGTTATTATTGTTATTATTTTGAACTGTTTTTAACTTGATTGTGTATAAAGCAGGGATCTCTTTGGGATGTGCCTTGAAAAAGGGAACAGAAGAGAGCCGGGTGGGGCAAATGCAGGGTAGGGGGAGGTGTGGTGTGGGAGGTGTAGCAGGCCGGGTAAGGTGCACATGGCAGAGGCCTGCTCTTGAGGGGGCTTCACTTCCTCTGAAGGAGTGGATACGTAGATTGGGGGTACTCCTGGATCCTTTGCTTGTCACTTGATGCTCAGGTGGCCTCAGTGGCCCAGCTGCACCCTTCTCTGGACAGGGACAGCCTAACTACTGTTGTCTATGTTCTGGTAACTTCAAGGTTAGATTATTGCAATGCATTATATGTAAGGCTGTCTCTGAAGATGATTCAGAAACTTCAGCTAGTGCAGGGCAACCAGATTACTCACCGTGGCATGACGTTTTAAGCATATTAGGCTAATCCTGGCCTGACTGCACTGACTGCCAATTACCGTATTTTTTGCTCTATAAGACTCACTTTTTCCCTCCTAAAAGTAAGGGGAAATGTGTGTGCATCTTATGGAGCGAATGCAGGCTGCGCAGCTATCACAGAAGCCAGAACAGCAAGAGGGATTGCTGCTTTCACTGCGCAGCGATCCCTCTTGTTGTTCTGGCTTCTGAGATTCAGAATATTTTTTTTCTTGTTTTCCTCCTCCAAAAGCTAGGTGCGTCTTGTGGTCTGGTGCATCTTATAGAGCGAAAAATATGGTAGTTTCCGGGCCCAATTCAAAGTGCTGGTTTTGACCTATAAAGTCTTACACGGCTCAGGACTGCAATACCTCAAGGACTGCCTCTTTCCATATGAACCTACCCAGACCCAGAGATCATCTTCTTGGGTCCTTCCTAATGAGCCTCCTCCTCGAGAGGCCTGGAGGGTGGCAGCATGAGAACGGGCCTTTTCTGCAGTGGCTCGGCGTCTGTGGAAAGGTTCCTCTTCAAGCAGGCCTTGGGCTGATTGACATGCCTTTTTAAATGTGTTGTGTAAGGGGGGATTATTTGTTTGTTGTTCTTGTTTTGATATTTTGTGGGTTTTATATTGTAATTTGAAGTGAACTGCTATGAGATCTACGGATGAAGGGCGGTATACAAATTTAATATAATAATAATAATAATAATAATAATAATAATAATAATAATAATAATAATATAGCAGTTCTGGGAGTTTCTTGGTTTTTTGCTGTACATTTTAAAATAAAGATTCATATGAGAACTTCCATTTCATTATTCTTACTGCATGCATGCATACATACATACATACATACATACAGGTTAGGGTATTTGTATATATTTATATGATGTTTTCCCCCTGCACACAGTTGTGTTTTCTTTTTTTCCCTTTTTGTATCAATTTACTGCTTTATATTTGACAATTTTTAAATAAAATATCAACTTTAAAAAACTACACAGCATTACTACTGCTACTACTACTACACAGGAGCCCTTTTCCACCAGTGCAAAAAATAGTGGTCTTAAACAAAAACACATTTTTAAAAGTTCCTTTTGAAGCAGAACAAAGTTTTTGTTTTGTTTTGAATAGCACAGAGATGGGGCCGAATTTTTGATTCTCATTTAGGTGCAGATTAGCAATTTCTGTTTGCATTGCAGCTATGTTGAAAGCATATTTTGCACATGCACACATACAGATATGAAAGGATTGTGTTAGCAAGTGTCAAAAAAAACCTCCTACCTTGTATTCCTGGGCAGCCTCTTCCTTGATGACCACAGTGTGTGATTTATGTTCTGGGCATCGCTCACAAACCAAACACACCAATTCTTCATCTTGTTTGCAGAACAGGTGGAGATTTTCTTTGTGCTTCTCACATAGTTCCTTTCTCTGGAGTTTGATTCTTTCTACTACATTTGCCAGCTGCCAATTGGGGCAGAAATTCCTGTTCCGGATCTTGTCCATGCAGGCGGGACACTTGCAGTCCCCCATGTCAATTTCATCCCGTACCTCACAGTGCTTGGTGATGCAGCCTAGGCAGAAGTTGTGGCCACAGTTCAAGGTCACGGGGTCTGTCAGGAGGTCCTTGCAGATGGGGCACAATACTTCCTCTTCTATGTTCGTGGATGGTGGTGCTGAGGCCATGACGGATCAAGAGTGTGTGGCTTTGTTGAGCTGAGAGGCGGCTGCAGGATGGCAGAAGAATGTGAAGGGACTGGGGAATGAAAAAATGTCTGTAAGGTAAAAGCTGTTCAGCATTAAGCATTTCCACATCCTTGCAGAGAAACTAACTCTGCATTTCACTTTCTTATGCAATGAAGCCTCTACAATTGGTCCCACTGCCTGAAACTCATCTATAAAACCAAAAATCATTTTCCACACTCCTTCACCTAAAATATCACCTTACCCATATGGGTCCACTAGAACATTCTGATCAGTGGAACTGACACTTTTACAGGTGCCACATAATACCCACACTGTGTATGTAAGAACTCAAATGTTTAGTGTGATGGCAGAGATACTTGTGGAACCTCCTGCATGCTGATAAGGGGGAAGGCGTCTTCACAGTATTAGTTTCAGTGCCAGTTGATGGCATTCTTACTTAGACAAGCCTATCTAGCAGTTATAGGGACGTGGGTGGCGCTGTGCGTTAAACCACAGAGCCTAGGACCTGCCAATAAGAAGGTCGGCGGTTTGAATCCCCACAACGGGCTGAGCTCCTGTTGCTCAGTCCCTGCTCCTGCCAACCTAGCAGTCTGAAAGCATGTCAAATTGCAAGTAGATAAATAGGTACCGCTCCGGCGGGAATGTAAATGGCGTTTCCGTGTGCTGCTCTGGTTCGCCAGAAACGGCTTAGTCATGCTGGCCACATGACCCGGAAGCTGTACGCCGGCTCCCTCGGCCAGCAAAGCGAGATGAGCGCCACAAGCCCAGAGTCGGTCACGACTGGACCTAACAGTCAGGGGTCCCTTTACCTTTAACCAATCCGTTACATGGCTCCTTACATCTTCCACTGATTTCAATTTAGGTTCCCCTCCTGTAAAGTACAACAATTTCCTGTAAGTTACCCACTGTCTATCCTTATTCACTGTCTTGATTGTAATGGCCTCAATAGGAGATAGCCATAGGTGTATTTTCCTTTCCAGCAAATTTTTATATGTCTCCTAAACTCTATACAGATTCTTCCTAAGAAGGTGATTCATAAAACTCTGGGTGGCTACCAACAGAATATTAAAATACAATAACCTATTAAACATTAAAAGCCTCCCTAAACAGGGCTGCCTTCAGATGTCTTCTAAAAGTCTGGTAGTTGTTTTTCTCTTTGACATCTGGTGGGAGGGCATTCCACAGGGAGGGCGCCACTACCGAGAAGGCCCTCTGCCTGGTTCCCTGTAACTTGGCTTCTCGCAGAGAGGGAATCACCAGAAGGCCCTGGGCACTGGACCTCAGTGTCCGGGCAGAACAATGTGGGTGGAGACGCTCCTTCAGCCCACATTCGCCAAGAGTTGAAGCTCTCAGCTGTCATCTCACTCTAACACAAAATGCAAACACTTCTATTTCTGCACATGATGCTATCTGGGAACTCATATGGAATCCCAGTTTCAATACTATCTATGCCTGCAAAGGTTTGCAGTGGGCATAACTGCTTCATTTCTGATCAGCCCTGTTCTCATACGTCCTGCTGAAATCCTATAATTTTTCATACCACATATGTTATTTGATGGGGGGGGGGTTGTCCCCTTTTGTTCCATGACATTTCAAGAGTCTGGAACTATTGCAAAATAATTCCTAAGCGGTGTGGATGTGTGGGTGCTTTAGCGTCAATCCATTACTGGAGCACTATAACTACATCAATGATACGTTGCAGTACACACTTGCAAAAGCCCTCCAGTATAGAGGGGTCCCTCAACAGCCTGCTAGGGAGGTTTTGGAGCTTTTCTTTAATACTGTTTCATCTTTTTGGCTTTCATATACCTCTCAAATAACCATGTACTCTGGGTTGTCCTTACATTAATATCAATAAAGTGGAATATAACTGATTTAAAACCAATAGAAAAATTGTACTAACAGTTACTACAACAAAATAGTATGAAACCATAAAAAGCATAAGATCATGAACAATTCATACAGCACTAAAAACCAGCTAGAGAGAAAACAAAACTTATAAAGTATATAAAGTCATATTTACATAACCTCCAAGTGTCCTTATTTTCCAGGCACAGTCCTGGAATTACAAAAGCCATCCTGGCTTTTGATTTGATCCTGGGATGTCCCTATTTTTCCCAACGGCGCTGCAGCTGATAAGCTTGGCAGGAGGATTAGCCAGCACTTGTTTTGAGCAGTGGTGATGGCAGTGGTAGCTGCAAGGGAGCATCCTATTGCCTCTCCGTGGCCACCACCGCTGGCCTCATAGCATGTTGAACAAATTTGCCCCAGGGATCTTTCCCAGAGGGTCAATTGCTCTGTGAGAAGAAGGAGTCTGACACCGAGATCAGGCCAAACCAAAGTCCAGCACTTGACTGATCCCAGCCTTGCAAAGCAGTTTGGGGCTGCTGTTGTTTCAGCAGCAAGGGGTACAAGTAGTTAGCCTTGCCCAGGGCACAAAATAATCTGGAGCAGGCACTATTGTAGGCATGTTCACCCATCAAGTTCAAGGGTCCCCTTCCCTCCTATCCTCCCCAATTCTCCTTATGGGTGCAATAGGACGGCCATCCTTACTGGAAAGCGAACCCTCCTGGTCCCAATCCTCAGTCACTCCCCAGCACCACAGCCCCTCCTGGAGCGGGACTCCCAGCCCCTCCTTCCTATGGGGAGCAGCGGAGACCCAGGCCTGGCAGTGACTCCTCCAGTCTGTAGGAACTGGGCAGGTATGGTGAGCCCCTCCTAAGCCAGGAAAAGTCCACTTGCCCTCACCCCAGACTGTGGGACCAGGCTGTCCCTTGAACCAATTTGTGTGTGTATATATCCGACCCATGGTCTGAAGACTTACGTGAGAAGTAGGTGCGTGAAGACAGAAGAGCACCACCAACATTTACCCCGAAGTTGTTTTGTCTGAAGGACAGTGGCAGCTGCTGCTGCAACCTGATCCACTCAGCCATAGCTGTCAAGCGTCACTTATTTGGCGAGACAGTCCCTTATTCCCAGTGCCATGTCCCGCTGCTGTCCCTTATTGATGAGGCTTCGTTTGGCTGCTGGCTGGGCTTTCTGCCTTTGGCTCGGAGGGGCTCAGAAGTTGAACATACCTGTGCCCGGAAAATCCCTTATTTTGGCTGCTGATCCCTTATTTTGGCTGCTTATCCCTTATTTTCGAGGCTGCTGGTCCCTTATTTTCAAATCTGTAAGTTGACAGCTATGAATCAGCACGTATACCAGACCTTTCCAAACTGTGCGTTGTGACTGAGTGTGTCAGCTGCAGTGTGTAGGTGTGTCACATGAACGCCCCCGCGCTCCCGGAAAGGTGTTAGTTTGACCCGGGGGTCCTCAAACCTTTTAAACAGGGGGCCAGTCCACTGTCCCTCAGGCACTGTTGGGGGCCAGACTATGAACAAATATGAACGAATTCCTATGCACACTGCACATATTTTATATGTAGTGCACAAAAATCAGGAAAAACAATACAATACAAATATTCCCAGCAGTGGAAATAAACAGTCCTGCTTCTCTACCTTTGAAGGTGACTCCGAAACTTGCATGTTGGTGAAAGTACCTTATGCATACTATTGCAGATAATTGCTTCGCAAAGATGTATTAGGCAAAACAACATACAAAAAACTTGAATTTTAGGAGGAACACAGACTAAAATGGTGACAAATTTTCAAGAGTACCTTTTCTTGAAAAATATATTAAATATATTAAAAAATATTAAAAGAACACTAATGTGGAAATGTGGAGAACTGAAAGGAAGATTGCAAAACAAGACACCAAAATGGACGGATTCAGCCATCCCTACCAGGGAGTAAATCCACTGAAAGCAGTGCAGTTACTTCTGAGTAAATAAACAGAGGCTTTCATCCATAATGCATCCATACAATCATATGCATGCCTGCTCAGAGGTAAGTCCCACTGAATTCAATAAGGCTTACTCCCAGGTAAGCACACAGGGAATTACAGCCTTTGGGGCGGGAAACCTGACTAAGCTCACAAAGCTCACTAACTTAACTGCACAAATGCCAGTGTGCTTGGAGCCCTTTGCACAGGAGTAGGCACCACTGAATGCTGCAGAGGTTATGCCAAAGAAGGCACCTTTAGGAAGCTGCTGGCGCCAAAAGGAGGAGCAAGGTGAACAGCTCTGCATACCCAGTGCCGGCATGACGACCCTGGGCCCGGCTGGCCATGATGCCGCAGAGGGAAGCAGCAGCAGCAGCAGGCGGCCGGCCCACTGGGCAAGGCGGTGCTGCGCTGCTCAGCTCCCATCTGCGGCCCCACGGCAAGCCTGAACAGCCTCCTGAACAGCCTCCGTGCAGGGTATTGCGCCCAGCAGAAGTACCTGTGCGGGGAAGGGCGGGGCTAGCAGAGGGGGCGGGGCTGGAGGAAAGGAGCAGCTGGCATGGCCCTCCCACCCTGCTCCTGTGGAACTTGCTCGCCTTTGCATCCCACAACAGCCCTGTGAGGTGGGCAGGGCAGAGAGGTGCACGCCCAGCCCACAGAGGATTTGGGCTTAGAGGCAGTGTGGCCTGGGGGTGGGCCGGGTTCAGGACACTGGTGGGCCGGATGTGGCCCGTGGCCCGTAGTTTGAGGACCCCTGGTTTAACCTCTGGTTTGCTAGTAAAACTGAATTACTGTGTTGCAAAATGACGCATGTCTAAAAAGCGTGTCAGCAGGGTGAAAAGTTTGGAAAGCTCTGGTGGATACTATAACAAGAGCCTTGCTCATGGTGGAACGCTGACATCAAGTGGTCCACTGGAGAACTGCACCCAGCGTGGTCTTCATTGGAGCAATGAAACCCCACAGTCCCTAATTAGGAAAAGGGCCGAGGGGCAGATTTCCTTCCCTTGCTGTGTCAAGGGTCCCTCCAGGCTGGTGTATTCTGCAGCATGTTCCTGACACAGTAAAAGGGCATTAGCACTGGGGAGACTGGGCCTTTGGTCTGCTGAACTCCCTCCCTCCCTGGTTGTTGGACTTATGTGGATCTGGAGAGAGGGGGCAGGGAGGAAGGTGAAGGGGTGTCTTCTCCCTTCTCTGAAGCACCTCAATAGCCACCAAAGAGAGAACAAGAATGCTAGCTGCTGCCCTTGAGGGGCTGAGAGAGCCCTCCTGCTACCCCTGGCAACTGTTTCCTCCCTTTGCTAGGCAGAAAGACTTAAGAGGCTTGGAGACATCTCCACTACCCTGAACACTTAACTCTCCCCCTTATTGGCGGATGGGGGCTGCACATGTGGGACTTGGAGAGACCTCTTGCTGTGTGGGGAAGTGTGATCTGGTGGGAGGGGGTTCCACACATACTGAAAAGACCCTCTTTGTGGGAACATCTCACATCCAGGGTGGGGGCCAAAGGGAAGACACCATGTGGATTATAAAGGGCAGACTTGGCCAAGTTGCTGGACTACAACTCCCATCAACTCTGGATTCAGTGAGATTTCTCTCTGGGGAAGTGTGGAGATGGGGAGGCTGCATTTGCAAAGGGTTGGACGTTGGGGCCTCACAGACAGTCTTCTTATTTCCTTCCTGCCTGAGATGCACAAGCTGTAGTTGCAAAAGGTGCCTGGAGGGATTGTTCTCCAGTAATCTATTAATCAATGTGGGCATTTTAACAGCTGGTGGAGGTCCTGTCATGAGAGGAAGGTGAACAACAGAACCAGGATCGCAGGGGGTGGCAAGTGAATTCTTTGGAGAAATAGATTGTTTATAATTGAGACGGTTAAAGTGTTTCCCTCTCTTTAAGGACTCCACTGCAGAGGGAATTCTGGGAAAGCAGAGGGAAAAGAAAATCCCAGATTTTGTTTTGTCGTTTCCTCCAAGTGTGACTGGAATGACTCCTCTCACAGGACACCTGCAAAGGTGTCAATTCTGCTCCTAACAGGAGGTCCTGAGTTGGGTTTCATTTCCCCACAGACAAAAGAAAGGGAGAAGGGTCTCCCCAAAGAACGAGGCTCCTGAGAATGTGTGGAGTTCAGCCCCTGAGTCAGCGTCAGAAAGAGACACATATCCCTCTTCATAGTCCAGAGTCACCCGGATCCTCTTGGGCTCCTCACTCAGGGACAGAGGAAAGTAATCAGGGGATGTGAAGGCCCTGTACTCGCCAAGCCACTTCTCCAAAGCCCAGATGCCTCCCTCAAACCTTAAGGGGAAGAAGTCCTTTCTCTCCACAGACTTCCTGGCAACCCCCACAGCCCACCATTCCTCACTTCCCACATTGACTTCCCAGAAATGTCTGCCTGCTGTAAATCCCTCACATCCCAACACACAAGGCATGGCACTGAATCTCTCAGGATAATTGGACAGGACTTGATGTTTTCTTCCCTTTCTCACACTTTTCTGATCCTCGGACAGGATGAGGCAGGGATGGGCTGTGTCTGGATCCAGAGTGACATTTGCTGTTGAGAGAAGATGAGGAAAAGAGAAGTGAGTCAGAATCAGCCAAGAGTCAGAGACGGACATCCTGATCCAAAATAACACCAAGAAGCAGCAGATTCCCTCTCAGATAAATGGGACTTCCTCTCGTTCCATTCAGGATTGGGACCCTCCCCTCTTTCTGACAGACTAACCTCAGAATAAATACCTTCCCTGTGGGTTTTTATCTACTTCTTTTTCTGCCATTTTTCTCAACATATTTTATTGTGTCCCTCCTGTCAATTCAGTCACCCTTCAAGAAGCAAAACAGCCCAGAAAATATTCCCTCATATCTTCTATGCAGTGAAGGGGAGGAGGGAAGGATGGGGGCAAGAGGAGAAAAATGGTCCTCCTTTGAACCTCTCTGTGTGAATTGCCCATTTGGGGCTTTCAGAGGCTTACATTGAAATCAGGGGGAAGAAATCAAATTAGGCAACCTAACAAATTCCCTTCCTTTGCAAACCTCCAGCATTGTTTTCTTACAGCCATGATACCACTACACACACATTTGTTGTCCTAAAGGAGGCTAAAGTCTGACTAAGAGTTAAAAGATTTTGAGCTTGGCAACAGTGATCCTAAAGTTTCTTTACTGTCCTGAAAAGACACCTGCATTTTTATATTTAAGCATTTTGATATTAGCTGTGCAGAGACTGAATCCAGCACTTTATAGCACATCAAGGACAAGTTGGCTGTAGTGGGAGCATACTAGCTAGGATTGCCATATTTAAAATAGTAACTATGGACAAAATATTGTTTACCTTTACCCACAAAGTTGTTGTGGGTTCCCCCCTGCTAAGTGGTTGAGATTTTCTAAGGAAATCTTCCGGGGGGGGGGCGAAGGAAGGCATCGCGAACAGGCTGCAGCGGTGCCAGAGGGATCCCAGCACCGTCTGTACGCCGCTGGAGTTGCGCTGGCGGCATACTGCTATAAAGTGCATGTGCAGCATTGCTATGTACTATGCATGCATGCGACGGCACACATGCACGGTACTTAGCAGTTTGCTGCCAGTGCTGGGATCCTCCGCTCTCAGCTGCAGCTACAAACGGAGGATCCTCTAAAGCAGGGGTCTGCAACCCGTGGCTCCGGAGCCACATGCGGCTCTTTTACACCTTTGCCGCAGCTCCGGGGTGGATACTAGTGAGGGGAGGAGGCGCATTGTGCGCCCCGACACTCCTCACTGTGGCGGGCGCTGTACTGGCTGTGACATCGCATGGGGGCGGTGCGTGTGTTAGTCACGCACCGTCCCGACGTCACCTTCCCGCCCGCCCGCTACATTGTAAGGGGCATGTACGCTGGTCACTGTTTTGAAGGGGAGTGAAGAACACACACACAAAAAAAGGTAACTTGTGAATTTAACGTTTATTTCTATGAGGAGGAGTAATTCTGAGGGGTCAAACAAAGAAATAATTAAAAAGTGACAAAAAAGTTATTTTTATAATGACGAGTTTTGCGGCTCCCAGTTTTTTTTCCTTCAGAAACGGGTCCAAGTGGCTCTTTTTGTCTTAAAGGTTGCAGACCCCTGCTCTAAAGATTACCCCCCAAGCATATCGCCGCCACAGCCACAACTTGCATGACGCAGCCACGGCCAACAAAACCTTTAATGACAGTAATCTATACTTGATTTTAATTCTGTTAATTCATTGTTTGTTAATAGCTTATTTGCATATTACATTTCTTGATGCATATTTACAATGTATTGCAGTAGAACAATTGGAAAGAATTCCCACTCACCCCTTCCCAATAGGTGGGTGGAGTTTGCGACCCCGCGCGGGGCCACCTGGCCGGGTGCCACCCACCAGGTAACTGTGTGCCCGGCGCACCCCCACCTGGTGGGCCAATGGGCTGCTGGTGGGGTGTGTGGGGTGGGGTGTGAGTAGGTTTGGAGGACTAATTTCTAAAAAATTATATTTAAAAAGCTGACAGGAATCCGTGCCTAGTGAGTTCCAGAATCTTAGGAGATATTGAGGGTCCCTGTTGAACAGGGGATTGGATTAGGGCCAAATTAAAATGTAGAAGTGGGCAGCTCTGTGTGCAATTACCCTATAGCTAAATAACCAGCACGATTAAAACCAACAAATTAGAAGACGGGGGGAAATGCAACAGGGAAAACCTCCTGGATGAATGGAGACGACTGAAGTTGCTCCTCATAGATAAATTCAGGTACCGTATTTACATGAGTCTAATGCGCTATCACATCTAATGTGCACCTCAATCTTCAATACCTTGAAACCAAAAAAGGTATTTGCGGGTGAATGTAAATGTGCAATCAAATGTAATGGGCACCCTAATTTTTGCAATGTAATTTGACCATAACGGTGCACATTACATTCATGTTTAATGTGGAGAAGATCAAAGAATCCAGTAAAAGCAAAGGGGGAAGGAGAAGAATTAGGCTGCAAAATATTATATGCAGATACTACTTCTCCCTCTCTTAGAATAACACAAAGGGCAGGACAGATCACAATCCCATTGAAATACCAGTCCCCAACCCCACCTTGAATTGGTCCTTCACCCAAAATTTACCTTTCTGAAGCAGTCCAGATAACAGAGCATCTGAAGAAGAAAAGAGATATAAAGTTTGAGAAACAGACTTTTATAACTCAAATAATTTTGCAACAATATTTTCACTTCATAACATATAAAATCCCTGCAGACATTCTTCATTACCTTCTATTTTCTCTACCCCAACATATAGAATGGGATTTGCAGCCCTGAATTTTGAGATCTCCCTCTTCAATTCTAGTGGGAAAGTGAGTGGATTTTCAGATGTCCCGCTTCGCTCACACCTGATGGGAAAAAGACATGTTAACCCATTTCAAATCCAGAATTTCTGAGGGCAGCAAAAGAAAGGAATTGAGAGGAGGAAAGAAACTGTATAAAGCCAAGAGGGAGAGACAGAGGAATGGAGTCACAGAGGGGGGAAGATTCCTCCTTACTAGGGACTCCAAAGCCAGACAACTGAGGGCCAAAGGAATCTCTTCATTTATATCCACTCAAATGGAGAAATAAAATAAAGTCAAGTGATACCACTCTGCTCAGAGTTTTTCCATTTCAGCTGCACTGCCTACAACATGCAAGAAAGATGTGCTGTTGTTGACAAAAGTGAAATGTTCCTTCTATCCCAGCCTGCTCTGGTCCATGGGGTCACGAAGAGTCGGACATGACTAAACAACGACATCCTCTTATCATGAACCCAAGTGACACCTTGAAGTTACATATTGCAGCTGGGATATGTTCAGGAACATGGGAAACACCCCAACTCCATCTCCTCGTTTTTAGCCCCACAGGTGACAGGGAACTGTGTGGGACTCTGTGGAATAGTCCCACATTATTATTCATTTCATTTCTATTCCACTTTATAATCTTCATAATATATTCTATCCCAGTCTACCTGTGAAGTTTCAGGGAGTGATATTAATGGAGTTGAGCAGGATCCCCTTACCTCTGCAAAGTTCTTCTAACATCCTAGAAGAGAAAAGAGGAAAGTCAGAATGGAATTCACTGCCTACCACAGGCCCTGCAATGGATGCCCCCGGGGTGAATCTGCCTAGCATATGCCAAAGTTCTCGATAGGTATGGATGCATCTAACAATTCTGGTTAGATTGGGAGAAAAGCAATCACAAACCTAGACAGCATCTTAAAAAGCAGAGACATCACTTTGCCAACAAAGGTCCGTATAGTTAAAGCTATGGTTTTCCCAGTAGTGATGTATGGAAGTGAGAGCTGGACCATAAAGAAGGTTGATCGGCGAAGAATTGATGCTTTTGAATTATGGTGCTGGAGGAGACTCTTGAGAGTCCCATGGACTGCAAGAAGATCAAACCTATCCATTCTGAAGGAAATCAGCCCTGAGTGCTCATTGGAAGGACAGATCCTGAAGCTGAGACTCCAATACTTTGGCCACCCCATGAGAAGAGAAGACTCCCTGGAAAAGACCCTGATGTCGGGAAAGATGGAGGGCACAAGGAGAAGGGGACGACAGAGGGTGGTTGGACAGTGTTCTCGAAGCTACCAGCATGAGTTTGACCAAACTGCGGGAGGCAGTGGAAGACAAGAGTGCCTGGCATGCTCTGGTCCAGGGGGTCACAAGGAGTCGGACACGACTAAACGAACAGCAATGATGGATGCATCTGACAATTCTGGTTTCTCTCCATTATTTTCCAATCTTAAGTTCAGGTCCATTTTTTAAAAATGTCCTGATGAAAATTCATGAGTTCTCCTCTGTCTTTCTTAGGTATCCCTAGTATCTTGGCCAGTGGAGAATTTATGGATAACTGTTCAACTGGAAGAGTTCCTTTTTCTGACATATCCTGAACTTTAACAAAGTTAGCTAAGCAGCCTCACAGTTCTTAGCTAAATCAGGTACTGGCAATCCTCTCTTCTGTGGGACAGTTTGCATATTAACATTATCCACTCTGGGACACTTACTTAGCCAAATAAAATTATCCATACTTTTCTGTCAGCTTTTCAATTCCCTCAAGTCAACCAAGAGTGGGAAAAGTAAGAAACAAAACCCAAAACCTTGGCAGTATTGTCATGCTTATTGCACTGATCTTTGCTTTTCACAGAATCATAGAATTGTAGTGTTGGAAGGGATTCCAAGGATCATCTAACCAAGATGCTTTTAACTTAGCCCACCTTTCCCTATCAGGTTTCTGATGCAGCCTTTGGCTAGTGCTTCCCCCCAACACTGCCATTCCATGAGGGGGCCACTGCCTTTCCATGAGGGGGACCCCTGGCACCAGGCGGGGTGGGATTCCTGCAAGGGGGCACCTGGCTCACCCCCCCTCAAAATCATGTGCCCGGGCTAAGCCCCCCCCTTGCCCTCCCTTCTCTACACTCCTGCTCAGAGATGCAAGCCCCAACTCTGTGCCCCATTTGACAGCAGCCCATTCTAGCTGACCTCCTCTGCCCCTCCCCCTTTGGTCTAACATGGGCCACCCTGTAAAGCTCTGTGTCCGAGAATTCCCCCTTTTCCTCCTACGGAGCTTTCCCTGTCAAAACCTGCTCTTTAAAGCTGAATTGGACCAAACAGCAATGCATGGAAAACCCAATTTGCCATTGGTTGTGCTTCAGCTTTAAAGAGGAATTGGGGGGGGGAGGGAGAGTTTGGTTAGGGACTGGGAAAGCACAGACTTGTGCCTGGAAAGAGTACAGCAAATGGTAAGTGTGGTTAAACCCTGAGAGAGGAACTGTGGGCTGTTCCTGCCACAGTCTCACCTGCAGGAGTTCACTCGCTGGCTGCTGACTCTTCTCCTCCATCTCCTGGATGCTCCTTTCAAGAGAGGAGAGTTCCTCAGAGAGTCCAGCCAGGTGCTTCTCCCTTCTTCTTGTGATCTCCTTCTCCATTTCTTCTATTTCATCCAGCAGACGCTTTTCTTGTTCTTCCAGAAACTGGTGCAGTTGTCTGAACTGCTCCTCTATATTCTGCCTCTCAGTTTCTGTTATTCTCTTCAAGAGGCAGGAAGAAAGAGGAAAAGAGGATGCCAGAATCTTTAGAGAGACCTTCCTTAACCATGTTATGGCAAATCACTCAGAAATAGGGCTACATCATGACTTGGGACTCAACTACACTGGACTAATTAGAATGTTATATATCTGTTATAAACATGTTATACTAGTAGAGCTGCTATCTGTCCCAATGAGAAATTACACCGAGAGCTAATTTTTTAAAATAGCGTTTTTTATAGTGTTTTCCAAATCAGTACAGTGGTACCTCAGGTTACATGCACTTCAGGTTACATACGCTTCTCTAACCCAGAAATAGTGCTTCAGGTTAAGAAATTTGCTTCAGGATGAGAACAGAAATCATGCTCCGGCGGCGCAATGGCAGCAGGAGGCCCCATTAGCTAAAGTGGTGCTTCAGGTTAAGAACAGTTTCAGGTTAAGGACGGACCTCCGGAACGAATTAAGTACTTAACCTGAGGTACCACTGTATAGATCCAGCCTTGGTCCTTCAAGCATACATGTTCTCTTTGTAGGGATTGTGACACTTACAAGCAGGCTGTTGCTTTCTTCTCCTATTTTTGCTTCATAAGCCTGAATTTTCACTCGCGCTTTCTTCAGATGCTCCAGGCGATCACAGATGAGTGTCTAAAGAGAAAACAAAATATCAGATTGGATTAGGATGCGGGGTGGAGAGCTTCAGTATTTTACATATATTTCTATTGTGTGGTCCCGCACTATTAGATTTTTATCTGATAATTGCTCTCTTCTAGTGGTTTGGGGTTTTTTGCTGTACATTTAAAATTCAAGGCTCGTTTGAGAACTATTACTCTTATTGAGCCCGGCCTTGGCTGGGGTGGGCGGGGTATAAATAAAAAATTATTATTATTATTATTATTATTATTATTATTATTATTATTATTATTATTAACCAGCATTATTATTATTACTACTACTACATTACACAGGAGCCCTTGGACACAAGTGCAGAAAAAATGTGCTTTTAAAAACAAAATTACATTTTAAAAAGTTGCTTTTGAAGCAGAACAAAGTTTTTGTTTTGTTTTGCATAGCTCAGAGACCAGGCCCAAGTTTTGATTCACTTTGAGGTGCAGATTAGTAATTCATTATGTTTGCTTTCCAGCCACATTGACAGCATATTTTGCACATACACACTCACACATAAACACAGATATGAAACCGTTGTGTTAGCAAGTGTCAAAATGACTTCCTACCTTGTATTCCTGGGCAGCCTCTTCCTTGAGAACCACAGTGTGTGATTTATGTTCTGGGGATTGCTGACAAAACAAACACACCAATTCTTCATCTTGTTTGCAGAACAGGTGGAGTTTTTCTTTGTGCTTCTCACATAGTTGCTTTCTCTGGAGCTTGAGTCTTTCTGCTACATTTGCCAGCTGCCAATTGCGGCAGAAATTTCTGCTCTGGATCTTGACCGTGCAGACGGGACACTTGCAGTCCCCCATGTCAATTTCATCCCGTATTTCACAGTGCTTGGTGATGCAGCCCTGACAGAAGTTGTGGCCGCAATCCAAGGTCACGGGGTCTGTCAGGAAGTCCTTGCAGATGGGGCACAAGACTTCCTCTCCTACATCTGTGGATGGGGGGGCTGAGGCCATGACGGATCCAGAATGTGTGGCTTTGTTGAGATGAGAGGCGGCTGCAGGATGGCAGCAGGACGTGAAGGGACAGGGGACGGAAAAAATGCCTGAAAGGGAAAAACTATTCAGCATTAAGCTTTTCCATATCCCTCCAGAAAAACTAACAATGCATTTAACTTTTTATGCAATGGAGCCTCCACAATTGGTCTTATTATACAAATCACTGTATTGGAAAAGAGACAGGTCCGTGTCAATAAACTCTGACACCAAGGTCTTCACCATTTCAAAAGGATGCTCTGGCAAGCCCCAGAAAAACAATTAGCATGTATTGCTCAGATCTCTCAGTGACAGATTTGTAAACATGTTGGACAAAAATAATATTCTGAGCATGGTCTGATTTACAAGTGCAACCACGTTCTGTGTCCTTTGTACAGGCAACTCCCCATCCCACATGTTGGCAGAGTGCATGCAATTCTGTCCCCATTCTGGGCCAAAAACAGTGTGTGGCTTTAAAATATTAACTGATGCTAAAGAAAGACTTAAGGCTGTATTATGAATCAGCAGCTTTTTGCTGGCTGAAAGATTGGCTGCTTCTTGAGAATACTGATGTTTTGGATCTGGAAGGGTTTAACAACGCCTTTGGTTGGCATGCATATTTGTGGTACGACAAGGTAAAAGTTCATAAGACTTTCAAGAATCATATTGTCAGGAAAGCAATATTTAATGTCTGGATAAAATACAAAGACTTATTAGAAAACAAGACCCCAAGGTGGTAGTCACAAATGGAAGCTAAGGCTCGGAAAAGACTCAATATGGAGGCCAAATGGCCGAAATATTGGGAAATATTAGAAAAAGTTGGAGACACTTGGAGATTGCAGAGTTTTGAGAAATTAAAGGATAAAGTGCGAGATTGGTTACATTATGCTCAGATTAGGGAGGTTTTCAACTTGGATAAAAAAACAGGTTTCCAGGTGGAAAAATCGAAACTAGAAACAGAACTGTTAGAACCTAAGACTAAGGTACTTTCAAAAATGTACAACTTGCTGTTAAAATGGAACACTCAAGACGAAACAGTTAAATCAGCCATGATAAAATGGGCACAGGACATTGGGTACAATATTATGTTTGCCGACTGGGAAAGGTTATGGACCACCGGGGTGAGGTTCACGGCATGTAATGCCTTGAAAGAAAATATTATGAAAATGATTTATAGGTGGTACATGACCCCAGTTAAGCTTGCAAAAATATATCATTTGCCTGACAATAAATGTTGGAAATGTAAGGAAACTGAAGGAACATTCTTTCACCTCTGGTGGACTTGCCCAGGGGTTAAGGCTTTCTGGGAAATGATCTATAACGAGTTGAAAAAGGTATTTAAGTATACCTTCCCTAAGAAACCAGAGGCCTTCCTCTTGGGCATTGTCGGCCAAAGGGTGTTAAAGAAGGACCGAACTTTCTTTATGTATGCAACAACAGCAGCAAGAATACTCATCGCAAAACATTGGAAGACCCAAGATTTGCCCACTCTGGAAGAATGGCAGACGCAACTGATAGACTACATGGAATTGGCAGAAATGACTGGCAGAATCCAAGACCTGGGAGAAGAGACAGTGGAAGAGGACTGGAAAAAGTTTAAGGCCTATCTACAAAAACATCATAAATTGTATGAATGTTAAGAAGATGCAGGATAGAAAACAACAGGGCATCAGTAATTTAGTTGAAAGAAATATGAGAATAAGTGATGTTTAAGTAAAAGATGAAATCTGGAGTAATATTATGTTTAAATTAAGTATTTAAGTATTTGATAAAAATATTTAAAGTTGGAGACATAATATTTGAAAATTACAAAATAAGAATTGAAACAAGGTAATAAATTGCTGCCTATAATTTTATAATTGGTAACGCAGGAAAGGGAGATGTGAGGAAGTCCAAAAAGTTATGGAAATATGATTTACGGACAGTTGTTTTTGTTGTATTTTTTCTACTCTATGTTTGTCTTTCTATTTCTTTCTGTTTTTTGGTTTGTTACCGTATTTTTCGCCCTATAGGACGCACTTTTTCCCTTCCAAAAATGAAGGGGAAATCAGGGTGCGTCCTATGGGGCGAATGCAGGCTTTCGCTGAAGCCTGGAGAGCGAGAGGGGTCGGTGCGCACCGACCCCTCTCGCTCTCCAGGCTTCAGGAAGCTCTGTGCAACCCTCGGGAGACCGGCTCCGAGGGTTGCGCAGAGCTGCCTGCAGTCCCTGGCTCAGCACAGCTCTGCGCGGCCATCGGGAGTGGGGCGCTAAGTCCCGGGATCAGCGCAGCTCTGCGCGGCCATCGGGAGCGGGGCACTAAGTCCCGCCCCGCTCTGGATTGCGGCGCAGAGCTGCCTGCAGTCCCGGGATCAGCGCAGCTCTGCGTGGCCATTGCCAGCCCCACAAGCTCGGGGGACAGCGGGGAGGCAGAGTGTGCCTTCCCACTGTTCCCCGACCTGGTTCTTCCAGCCCCGCACCTGGGGGGGGGGGGGAAATAATTTTTTTCTTTATTTCCCCCCCCCAAAAAAGCTAGGTGCGTCCTATGGGCCGGAGCGTCCTATGGGGCGCAAAATACGGTATATCTTGGTGACGGTTTTTTTATATGTTTGGTGACTTTACTGTTTAAAAACTTTAATAAATATCTTATTAAAAAAAACAACAGTGTGTGGCACCTTCGCATGCCAATTGAACAGATGCAAAATGCTTGGTACTTGTATGATGACTTTGGGTGGTCCTTGGATAAGGGCTGGGCCATTTCTGAACTCTTTAAAAATTGTTGCACATTTTTACTCTGGGTCCCCTCACTTCCTCGCAAGGTGGTGATGGCGGCGACGGCGGGGGGACTCTATTGCAGCAGAAAACAAATATTTTCTTTGCTTTCCTCAACTGGTTCCTCCCTCCCCTCATTCTTCTCTGACTGATTATTGGGTCCCTTGATGGAGAAATGGGCTGTAAAATTCAACCCCTAATTTCCGTATAAGAGTCCCACTGCCTGAAACTCAACAACTCAGTTTGCACACTCATTCATTCTTTACCTACAAGGTCACCTTACCCCATATGTGCCCACTTGACTGCTTCAAACGGAGGAATTGGCAGTTTTACAGGTGCCGCATAATACCTGCACTGCATCTGTCAGAACTCAACCATTTAGCATGGTGGCAGCAACCCTTTGGAACTGCCTTCCTATTAATATCAAGCAGGCACCTTCACAGTCTTCTTTTCAGTGCCTGCTGACAACATTCTTATCTAGACAAGACAACCAAAATGATTAAAAAGTTTCTATGAGTTTCCATTTGTTTTTATCTATTCTACACAATCTCATGTACATGTGCAGCTCCACTTTCCTGGCGCTGCATCAAGAGTGGCCCAGGAATGGCACCGAGGTGACAGACAAGGACAGAAGCCATTGCAGGGCTCCAAGCCCTCCTTTGGGTGCCCAGCCAACACCTCCATTGACACCCATGGGAGCTCCTCTCCCAGAGCTAACAGCATTCCCATAGGTGCTTGACCTTCATCTGAATGGTGGGGGAAGGCAAGGAAGAGGAACGGTTAAAAGGCTCTTCTGTATTCATTGGGAATTGAATGAAAATAGTCCTGCTTGGGCCAAGGGCAGCCTGGGAACATGCAGTGGGGTTTGGTTGTCAGATACTCACCCCCAGAATAGCTTCTCTTGTGGGCAGAGAGGTGGTGTACTTGATCAAGAAGAAGTAGTTCTGGGGTTACCTTTCTTTCTTCTTCCCAGCCGTTCTTTCTCCTGTCTCCTTCCCCTTTCCTTATGGAGGGGCAAAGGGTGTGCACTTTGTACAGCTGTGACAACAACCAGCAACTGTTCTCTTCTTCTGCTGGGAGATCTCAGCTTCCTTCTCCCCCTCCATCTTCTCTCCTCCTAACAGAACAACCATTTGCTCACCACCTCATCTCACCCCAAACATGAACGGCTCTTTTTCAAAAAACCAAACCAAACAGGCATTTGGCATATATTTATAATTGTATAAAACAAAGCCATGTTTTTTTCTGAACAGGTCTTTTTATCAGCTATCATAAATTTGGCATTGCTTGGTTAATAAGTGATAGCTTTGAACTTTGTCTGAATGATCCACCACACCCATTTTGTTCAGGATGCAGAAAAAGAATTCTTTTTTTTACTTCCTGCTTTGGACCCCTGGCTCTTCCCCTCCTCCTATCCATAGTGCCATCAGGGAAGCACTATAGGGGAGACCCAACCCCAGGAACCCACTTGGGGGTCACACCCACCTCTGCTTGCTGTTTGCAGCTGAATTGGGGAAAAGATCAATTGGTTTTTCTGAGGATTGACATTAGTTCCTAATTCAGTGGGTTTTCCCAGGGAAAGCAGAGGGGCAAACAAGAAACTGCTTTGACCCATGCCTAGACAGCACGGGAGAAACTTCTGTCCCTGGCCTGCTACAAATCATCATCCAGTGCAACCAGTGCTGTTTCAGTCCCATGATGGGAATTGCAATTGGAAGGGGTCCAAATCATCCACATTTCCAATTTCCAATTTGGGGTGAGATTCCTTGGGCTGGGCTGTTTCTTTGCATTGAGGGAAGGGAGGCTAAGGGGCCACCCCCCCCCAAATACTAGCTTAAGCAGCCTTAGCAGAAATCATGCCCACACACAGTGGTCACTGGATCCTTGAAGTAATCCAGGCAGATGGGACAAGTGACTTCAGCATAGAGATTCTGGACGGGACCCCCAGAACCAGCCATGGCTGCTGCCTCACAGTGAAGGCACAGCTGACTTTCAGTTTTTCAGTTGTCAGTCTGTGGGAGTTTCCCTGTGTGCAAATGACTTGCCATCTCAGGGCTGATGTGCTTGGCTGTGGCTGTTTTTATCCTGGCAGGCCTGCACAGCTTTCTTAGAGGTGTCTTGAGCAGCCTCAGTTGCTTTGCATTGCTTCTGAAGCCTGTATACTGTGGGAGTATTTTGTCCTTAGGGGTGATAGGTCAATTCTTTTTGAATGAATAAGAGAACGCAAATCACTGGCATTGTGGGGAAGCAGACTCTGCTTTGAGAAAGAAGTGCTTAGCGGAGACTGCTCTTTCTTCCTGGCCTGAACACAGCAATCCCCTGCTCTGCTCTCGGATCTGATCTGGCTGGGAGCTGACTTCAGGCACCAGGCCCAGCGGCAGACCAATTCTGCGTTACAAAGATATCTGCAAACATGACATGAAAGCTGGCAACATCCACCTGCCATTTTGTTTCCCTTGAAGGTAACTGCAGTGCCTAGAGAAAGACAGTCAGGTCATGTGTCCATAGCAGCAGCCAGAGGAGGAATGACCACTAGGAGGAGCGTCCACAGAAGAAATACCCTGGTGCATCTGCAGCAGCACAACGAGACGCCTTCATCTGCCCCAGCTGACACAAAACATGTCTTTCCTGCATCGGTCTCTACAGCCACAGCAGGCACTGCAATCTTCCAACAAACTTGACCTCACCCAGAGACGCACTCCTCCACTGCATCCCAAGAAAGATGGGTGCCAGCTTTGAATATATTAAAACAGTAGGTAGAATGGGTTTTCTTTTTCTTTTTCTACAATGATGCTCTACAGCCTCAGCCCACATTCACCCAGAATTAGAGCTCTCAGCAATCATCCCTCTCTAGCACAGAATGCAAACACTCCCAGGATTTATGCATATTCCTTTTATTGTGTATTTGTGATGATTTCTGCGCATGATGCTATCTGGGATGTCTATGCAATCCCAGTTTCAATACTATTTGTGCCCACAAAGGTTTGCAGTCTTCATATTAATTGCTTCATTTCTGATCAGTCCTGTGTACTGTTACTTCCTGCTGAAATCCTATAAATGTTTCATACCAGAAATGTTCTGTTGTGGGTTTTTCTTTTGGTCCCCTTTTATTCCATTACAGCCCAATTTTCCTCTCCAAATGGCAATAATGGGGTAGCATTCTGGAAGTATCACGGAATAGCTTCTCAAGTTGCTGCATAGATGGTCCAGCATTAATCCATGGCTAATGCACTATTATTGCATCAATGGCATCTTGCAACACACATCTGCAAAAGCCCTCCAGTCTGAAGGGTCCCCTCAACAGCCTGCAAGGGAGGTTTGGGAGCTTTTCTTTAATATGGCTTCATTTTTTTGGCTTTCATATACCTCCCAAATAACCATGCACTCTGGGCTGTTCACAAATTCAAATATAACTGAATAAAAGTCAACAACAGGAAACCTGCACAATCACCAGAACCACAATAATGTAAAATGATAAAAATCAAGATCAATTAATACAGCACTAAAAACCAACAAGAGATAAAACAAAATATTTACAAGAATTCAAGTATATTAAACCATAATTATTAAAAACCAGGGTGGGGGGAGGGAGAGAAAATGCAGGTGATGCTGAAAAGACCCTCTTTGGGGGAGCATCCTACATTTAGGACCACAGGGAAGACACCATGTGAATTATAAAGGGCAGACATCATGGAACTTTGAAGTGTCAGGCATAGCCCTATTGGCTTTAGCCCAAACGTAGCAGAGTTTTCCTGCACAGCGAAGAAGCTAGTTGCGGCAGTAATGACTAGTCAGCTAGACTCAGAAGAACTATTTACAGGATTTATTAAAAAAGGAAAAAATAAAACCAGCAGAGTTTCTGCATACAAATAAAAGCAAAATAAATCCTCTCTTTCTCTCTCTCTCTCATAACCATACACAGCACTTCTAACTCCTAACAACACCTCACACCAAACTGAGCTAACAATCCCTTGATAACAGAGTTGAGTGCTGGTCGTTAACTAATCAGAGTAAGTAGTTTCTAGGTCAAGCAGACCTGGGCTTTCTGCCAAGAGTAAATTGACACCAGCCTGAGTTAATTGTGTGAAGCTAGAATCTGCAAGTTTCCCACGAGAACCAATTAACAGAAACTGGACACCCCCTCACAGATTCTGCTGAACAATTAACACCAAATACACCTATGTAGGAGATTATTTTTCCAGCAAACCTAAACCCTTGCACATTCGCTTGTTCTTTATCTTTGCCAGTGGTTTAGTTAATACATCTGCTACATTTCCTTCACTTGATACATAAGTACAGGTGATTACATTGTCTTGTACACAGCAACGTACATTTTGGTATTTTACAGAGATATGTTTGGAACGCGATTTGAAACCCTCTGTTTTACTTAAGGTTATACAAGCTTGATTATCAATGTAAACTTGTACTGGTTCTCCACAATTTACATTTAAATCTGCCAACAAATGCTTGAAATAAATCACCTCGTTGCACAATTCACTCAATGCGGCGTACTCTGATTCCGTTGATGACACACTTACAACGTCTTGCTTGCGTGACCGCCAGCTGATTAAAGCTCCACCGACCATTATGACTAGTCCTGTGACAGATTTTCTATCCGGCAAATTTCCCCAGTCACTATCACAGTAGCAACTCAACATTTCATCCTTTGAAGAATTTAATTGTAACATATAGTCAATTGTCTGTTTGAGATACCTCAGAACTTGTTTTACCCCTTTCCAGGCATTTAGTGTGGGTTTTGAGACCAATCTACTTAATATGCCTACTGCATAGCTAATATCAGGTCTGGACCACTGTGCTAGATACAATAAACTTCCAATTACAGAGTGATATACATCAGGATGTTCAAATTCAGGACTCTCATCTATATGAAGTGTTTTTATGAAACCTGGATCCATAGGCACCACTCTGCCCCTTTGCAATCCTGCATCCTGTATGTAGTCAGTAGTTGTTTAACTTTGTTCTGCTGACTAATTAGGCAGCTGCCATCTTGGGCCCAGCACACTTCCAACCCTAGGTATGTCCTAACCGGGCCTAAGTCTTTTGTACACCCACCTGCAGCCTACAATCTTTGCCCCCTCAGGCGCTGCTACTGGTGTAAAAACCTTGTGCTCATTCAGAGAGGACATCTCTTCCTCCATTGCCTGTTTCCAGCGCTCTGCCTCCTCTTTTGGTAACTTTAACACCTCCTGAAAACTCTTGGGTTCTGCAATTACACTAAACACATTTGCAGTATCTGGGGAAAAACGCACTGGAGGCACTCCTTTGTTTTGTCTTTTAGATCTTCTGGGAGAAAATTTTTCTTCTGACCCACTTTCCTCCTCAGAACTACGACCTCTCTTTTGTTGCTTAGCAACTGGTCTTTGGCTAACTCCACTTTCTTGAGAGCTCTTATCTGAACTTTCCTCCCCCTCAGACTCTGATTCTCTGTGTCTACCTTCAGAGTCATGAAGCTCCTGGGAAGGTTCAAACCAAACCTCAGTATTGGCATGTAGTCTCTCCCAGCCACTATGTTCACAAAAACTGGCATTCCTGGAGATCACAATGCCATTTGTCCCTTCAGCAAAGCGGAAACCTTTTCCCAGCTCCTGGTAACCCACAAACACTAACTGTTTGGTCTTAGGATCTCCCTTCTTCCTCATTTGTTTCGGAATTAATACCCAGGCTTTTGATCCAAACACATGCAAATGGTCAATTTTGGGTTTTTTCTGAAACAATTTAAAGTACGGGGTTGTACCTATTGTTTGATGAAAGAGCCTGTTTTGGAGATAACACGCGGTGAGCATGCTCTCCCCCCAATAAGACATGGGCAAATCAGCATCATCAAGCATGGCAAACATCATATCTTGTAAAGATCTGTTTTTTCGCTCTGCAACGCCATTCTCCTCTGGGGAAAAAACGTTCGTTTTTCTATGCCCAATGCCACGCTTTTGTAACCAATCTTTAAAGGCATTTGACATAAATTCACCACCTCTGTCCGTCTGAATCCTTTTGAGTTTAATGGACAGAAATCTTTCCACAGATGCCACCCAGCCTTTAAACTTAGTGAACACGTCACCCTTATTCTTCATGGGAAAAACCCAAGAATAACGTGTGGCGTCATCCACAATTGTTAGTGAAAAACGCGATCCACACCTGCTTACAGCAAATGGACCAATTACGTCCATGTGAACCAGCTGTAGCGGTGACTCACTAACTCTGTCACTTCTGGGGTAAGAGACTCTGTGGGTTTTAACCTTTTTACAAACATTACAATCAAGGTACTTGTTACAACTCTTTAAATTATCCCCATCAGCCAATTCAGACATTTTTAGTACACTTTTCCAGCAAGCATGCCCCATTTTCCTATGCAATAAGTGCACACAGTTGTCATGTATAGCTTTGTTATTCACTGCAGGCTGAGATTTACTGACTACTGCTGCAACTTGAGATCCTGCTTTAAGCCAAAACAAGCCTCCCTCTGACTTAGCAGTGCCTAAAATCTCACCAGCCTTCTTAATAATGCAACTGTCTCCTTCAAAATGCACTTTAAACCCAGCTTTTAGCAAACAATCTACAGACATCAGATTGCTCCTTAATGACGGCACACAAAGTACATTTTGCAGGCATTCACAAAGACAAGGAACAAAAACTGCACCCCCCGAAATCACTTCGGAAGTACTTCCGTCTGCTAGAGCCACCTGGCTGCGCTGTGCTGAGTTCTTGGAAACAAACAATTCATCTGAATTCACGATGTGGCGAGATGCTCCCGAATCGACCACCCAGACCGCTTGTTTCTCATCAGCAATCTTGACCTCGCCGGTCACCAGCTGAGCCGACTGTTTTCGTTTGAAGAATTTCTTTTTACGCTGCTGCTGCTGCTGATCTCGTCTCTGCTCCTGCACCGGCAACTGAGACTTGACCAACTCCGGACATTGTCGTTTTAGATGCGCTGAAGACCCACATCGGAAACAACGCCTAACAGCAAACGCTGACTCCTCACCAGTACGCTGCTTTTGCGTCACCTCTGGCACGGCATGAGAACTACTTCCAAACCGCCCGCCAGTAGAAGCCTCTGCAGCCAACGCCCTTTCTTGCCTCTTCTGCCATTCTTCAATCAAACGCCCAGTAACGTAACTGACTGATAAATCACGCTCCTGTATGCCTTCTAGAGACAAAACTAAATTATCCCAGCTTTCCGGGAGAGAACTCAAAATAATAGCCACCTTCTCCTGCTGGTCTAACGCACAGTCTCTTTCCTGTAGCGCAGCAAACTTTAACTGTAAACTGTGTAGGTGTTCCTGCATTGTAACCCCAGGCTGTAACATTGCCTTGTACAATGCCTTGCGAATGAACAGCTTGGAAACCGCTGTCTCACGCACATGGAGTTCTTTAAGTGCTTGCCACACACCTCTAGCTGTCTTGATTCCCCTCACATACGGCAACTGGGAATCTTCCAGCCCCAAGACAATTGTGGCCCTTGCTCTTTGGTCTTTATCGAGGTCTTCATCATCAGGCTTCGCAGGAAACTTACTCACCACTTGCCAGAGACGATCCCTCTGCAGCACTGCCTGCATGCGTTCCGACCACAGCAAGTAATTGGAGTCATTCAGACGCTCAAAAGCCATCTGAACTGGTTGTGAGGCCATCTTGAGAGCGATGTCCCTGGAACCCGGAACCAGCTACTCACGACCACCGAGAGAGAAAACAGGAACCACAGCACCCAGCACTCGCACGCTGCAGCTGTTGTCCTTGTGTCCACTGAGTCACCAGCTCACCACGGTCAGGAACCAGCCAGAGAACAACAACTTCTGGAACTACTGGAACCAACGCCGTTGATGCTGACACCACCGCAACTCAGGCTGGCAGCACAATGCCCATAACCTCATGGAACTTTGAAGTGTCAGGCATAGCCCTATTGGCTTTAGCCCAAACGTAGCAGAGTTTTCCTGCACAGCGAAGAAGCTAGTTGCGGCAGTAATGACTAGTCAGCTAGACTCAGAAGAACTATTTACAGGATTTATTAAAAAAGGAAAAAATAAAACCAGCAGAGTTTCTGCATACAAATAAAAGCAAAATAAATCCTCTCTTTCTCTCTCTCTCTCATAACCATACACAGCACTTCTAACTCCTAACAACACCTCACACCAAACTGAGCTAACAATCCCTTGATAACAGAGTTGAGTGCTGGTCGTTAACTAATCAGAGTAAGTAGTTTCTAGGTCAAGCAGACCTGGGCTTTCTGCCAAGAGTAAATTGACACCAGCCTGAGTTAATTGTGTGAAGCTAGAATCTGCAAGTTTCCCACGAGAACCAATTAACAGAAACTGAACAAGACATAGCCAAGTTGCTGGACTACAACTCCCATCATCTCTGAATTCAGTGAGATTTCTTTCTGAGGAAGTGTGGAGATGGGGAGGCTGCATTTGCAAAGGGTTGGAAGTTGGGGCCTCACCACAACTTAACACAGACAGTCTTATTTCCTTCCTGCCTGAGATCCACAAGGCTATGAGCTTTAGTTGCAAAGTGGGTGGAAGGATTGTTCTCCAGTGATCTATCAATGCCATCATGTGGGCATTTTAACAGCTGGCAGAGGTCTTGTCATGAGAAAAAGGTGAACAACAGAACCAGGATTGCAGGGGGGGGGGCGGGTGAATCATTTTGAGGAATAGGTTGTTTACTGGGACGGTTAAAGTGTTTCCCTCTCTTTATAGGACTCCACTGCATAGGAAATTCTGGAAAAGGGAAGGGAAAAGAAAATTCCTATTTGTTTTGTTGTTACCTCCGAGTGTGGCTGGAATGACTCCTCTCACAGGGCATCTGCAAAGACATCAATTCTATTCTTAACAGGAGATCCTGAGGTGGGTTTCATTTCCCCACAGACAAAAGAAAGGGAGGAGGGTCTCCCCAAAGAACAAGGCTCCTGAGAATGTGTGGAGTTCAGCCCCTGAGTCAGCATTAGAAAGAGACACATAGCCCTCTTCATAGTCCAGAGTCACTCGGATCCTCCTGGGCTCCTCACTCAGGGACAGAGGAAAGTAATCAGGGGATGTGAAGGCCCTGTACTCACCAAACCACTTCCCCACAACCCAGACCCCTCCCTCAGGCCTTAAGGGGAAGAAGCCCTTTCTCTGCACAGACTTCCTGGCGACCCCCAAAGTCCACCTCTCTCCCTCATTTACAGTGACTTCCCAGAAATGTCTTCCTGCTGTGAATCCCTCATATCCCAACACACAAGGCCAGGAATTGAATCTCTCAAGTTTGTTGGGCAAGTCTTGCTCTTTGTCTCCGCATCTCACGCTTTTCTGATCCTCGGACAGGATGAGGCAGGGATGGGCTGTGTCTGGATCCAGAGTGACATTTGCTGTTGAGAGAAGATGAGGAAAAGAGAAGTGAGTCAGAATCAGCCAAGAGTCAGAGACGGACATCCTGATCCAAAATAACACCAAGAAGCAGCAGATTCCCTCTGTTGTAAACAAAAATTGCCCTTTTCCCTCTCAGATAAATGGGACTTCCTCACGTTCCATTCAGGATTGGGACCCTCCCCTCTTTCTCCCAGACTAACCTCAGAATAAATACCTTCTCTGTGGGTTTTTAAATACTTCTTTTTGTTCCATTTTACTCAACATATTTTATTGTTTCCCTCCTGTCAATTCAGTCACCCTTCAAGAAGCAAAACAGCCCAGAAAATATTCCCTCAGCTCTTCTATGCAGTGAAGGGGAAGAGAGATGGATGGGGGCAAGAGGAGAAAAATGGTCCTCCTTTGACTCTCTCTGTGTGAATTGCCCATTTGGCGCTTTCAGAGGCTTACATTGAAATCAGGGGGAAGAAATCAAATTAGGTAACCTAACAAATTCCCTTCCCTTGCAAACCTCCAGCATTGTTTTCCTACAACCATGATACTGTTAGGATATTTCCGTTCCACCTTAAAAGGGAGCAGGCTGTGAGTCACAGAGTCTGCGTATTTCCTGTTACAGGATGTTTATGTTTGCTATTGCTTTCGTTTTGTCTGTCTGTGCTTGAACGCTGAAGCAGATGGTCATGTCTTTTCTTTGTTCTGACCAACGTTGAATAAACTGTAAATATGCTCTCCTGCTGTGCATCTTTTGCTGTGTGGAGTCTGCTGAAAGAGTGTGCACCAGCCTAGGAATGTGGCAATCTATTTCTAAGGCTTCGTGCCGCTAATTGCTGATACTGCGTGACTACGGGAGGTCGATGGATCGTCCGGCAGCCGGCTTGGGGACTCAGATGGATGTTATCTCCCTGGCAGTATCCCAACAGGTCCCAGGCCCAGATTCACGGCACTTACAGGAGAGTAAGACTGCGACACTGCTGAGGTATGTGCAAAAGCAAAAGCACATGAGGCTTTTCTGTTCCGGCAGGGCGTAATTGGTCTGGGAGCTGCGCCAGAGAGTTCGTGATTTATGAGCTGCTGAGATAAGAAGTCTTTGAAAGCATAAAGGGCTCAAGTGAATAGCTGAGATGGATCTTTTACAATCCTCAGAAGCTGCTCCGTGTCCACTAAAGCTAGATGGCCACAACTATCAGACCTGGGCAAGGTACTGTGAGGGCCAGATGAGAAAGCTTGGAGTGTGGAATACCATTTCTGAGGACCCCCCAGCCCCTGTGACAGATGAATGGATGGCACAGGACTCAAGAGCCATGGGGATAATTTTGCTCTCAGTAGCTCCTGAAGAGTTAATCACCCTGGCTGGCAAGGCCAGTGCCCGTGAGATGTGGGACGGGCTTAGAGCCTGTCATCTCCGACAAGAGGCTGGGTCTGTGTTGCTTTATTTCAGAAAGCTGCACAGGAAGCGTTTGGAGCCAGGGGAAGACCTTAGAGCCCACGTTTTGCATTTGCAGCATCTCAGACAGGAATTGGCTCAGAGAGGTTTCAATATGCCTGAGTCACTGTTTGCAATTCTCATCCTGGACTCCCTGGATGAAAGCTATCATGCCGTGGCAAGTCAGCTGGCTACCCTCCCTGCGCAAGACCTCACTGCCACAAAGGTCTTGGCGACTTTGCAAAACGAATATGATAGGAGAAATGCAGCTGAGTCGGCTTGTGCGCTTCAGGGGGAGCAATGTGGGACAGCATTCCAACCTCCAGGGGGAGTCAAAGCGTTGGCAGCTGTGAAGTGCTGGAACTGTGGGAACCAAGGTCATACTCAGAGGTTTTGTCCAAAGACTGGAAATAAACAAAGGAAAAAGCCTGCAGATGGCCTGAAGCAGAAGGGGGGGTGGAAAGCCAGGGGAAAACAAAGCTTTGTTTGCTGGCACTGTTTCACCAAAGGCTAAAGGCAAGTCTGATGGCCAGGAGCAGGGGGGCAAGCTGCAAAAGCCCACGCTGGTGGAAAACAAGGTTTTGCTTGCTGCAAAAGCTGCTCCAAAGGTCAGATTTGTTGTGGACTCAGGCGCCAGCCGCCATGTCTCAAAGGACCGCCATCTCTTCATCTCCTTCACACCTCAAGATGGAGAGATCCACCTGGCTGATGGAAGGACGTTGCAAATTGCAGGAGTAGGGACTGTGAAACTTGCAAGTCTGCACACTACCATCAGAGATGTGCTTTTTGTTCCAGGAGCTGCGGGCAATTTGCTCAGTGTCCCACAGCTGATTCTGCGTGGTTTTGAGGTTTCCTTCAAGAGGAACGCCTGTGTCATCAGGAAAGGCAAAGAGGACATTTTGCATGCAAAGTTTATAGATGGCTTATTCTGTATAACTTATGATGACAATGCTGTTGCTGTGTCTAATGCTGATTCTTGTTGTGTTGCACAAACTAACAAAGTTCTTCATGCAGGATGCATTCACGATGCACATCAAAGATTTTGTCACATGTCTTGGCAGGCGCTGGCCAAAATGCCTGGGTTGGTTGAAGGTTTGAACATCAAACCCTGTAAATTTCACATGAAATGTGTATCTTGTGCAGAGAACAAGGTGAAGGTTGCTCCAAAAGGCAAGGAGTCTAGCAGGCAGGCTTCCAAACCCTACCAGCTAGTTCATGCAGACCTGGTTGGTCCTCTTGCGCCTTCTTTGGGAGGAGCAAGGTACTTCATGGTTCTAATTGATTCTTTTTCCAGGTACATTTATGTGTTTATGCTCGAGCAGAAATCGCAAGCGTTTCCTAGCTTCAAAGCATTCTGTGCTTGGTTGGAGAATGCTCACGGTAAACGTACCGGCTGTCTGTTTACTGATCGGGGCGGGGAGTTCACTTCTCAGCAGTTTGAAGCTTTCCTGACTGAGAAGGGAATCCAGCATGACATGTCAACGCCTAGATCGCCATGGATGAATGGGCTTGCGGAGCGAGCAAATCAAACGTTGCTGCAAGGAATGAAAACCATGTTGCATGATGCCAATCTCCCTGATAAGTTTTGGGGTGAGGCTCTGTCGACGTTTACTTATTCCTTTAATTGCAGACTGTCATCACCTATTGGTTGTACTCCGTACGAGAAGATGTTTGGTAAGAAACCGAACGTCAAGCACATGAGAATCTTTGGTTCTGACATGTGGGTACACACCCCACAAAGCAACAAGCTTGGGAAGCGTGGGGCACATGGTTTGTTCATGGGGTACGAAAAAGGTGCATACAGGGTATGGATGACTGACTCTAAGTCCATTAAGTTCACAAGGGGTGTTGAGTACAATCCTGAGTGGGGGGGGGAATGTGGGAATTTTCCAGAGTTACCCAGAGGAAGATGTAGGTGATGTGAAGAAAGCAGATCATGCTGAGAAAGCTGAGGAAACTGAGGATGATGATGATCAGAGTTTGGATTCCAGTTCAGTGGGCGGCGCTGCTGCTGGTGTCAGTGACAGTGATGACACAGCAGACTACAAGAGCGCAAAGGCCTCAGTCAGACCATCTGATGCGTCTGACAATGAACTGGAAGAACCACTGTTCACCATTGGTCACTTTTCTCCTAAGAAGGAGGAGATGAGTCCAGAAGACTTGCGTCTGGTTCGCAGGTCTGAAAGGGCGACCAAAGGCAGACCTCCAAAGAGATTTGCTGATGAGTTTGCTAAGACGGCTACTGCTGTTCTTAGTAGCTCAGAGAAGGTGTGGGAACCTTCAAGCTTCAAAGAGGTTCAGGAGTTAACCTCTAAAGATGCTGAGCCTTGGCTAAATGCCATGAAGGCTGAAGTTGATTCCTTGAACAGGAACCAAACTTGGGAACTGGTACCGGTAGTCCCAGGGATGAGACTGGTTGGCAGCAAATGGGTCTTCAAGGCTAAGACAGACCAGAATGGCAAGGTTGTTAGACACAAAGCCAGATTGGTTGCCAGAGGTTTTTCACAGGTACCAGGACAGGATTACCACGAGACCTACTCACCCACCGTCAAATATGAGAGCATTCGGCTGATGCTCAAGATCGCTGCGGAGGAGAAACTGCATGTTTCCCATCATGATATTAATACAGCTTTTTTGTACGGGATTTTGGGGGAGGAGCTGTACATGCTTCCACCTGAAGGGATGCAGATACAGAAGGGAATGGTCTGTAAACTGCGGAAATCCTTATATGGTCTCAAGCAGAGTGCCAGGTGTTGGAACACAAAACTCACTGAGACGTTGCTTTCTCTAGGTTTTCACCAGGGCAAAGCTGATCCGTGTGTGTTTGTCAAGGAGGAGGGGCAAAACAAACTGTATTGTTTATGTTTTGTTGATGATCTTCTGATGTTTTGGAAGAATCAGGCTTTTTACCAAAGTACCCTAGCTCAACTGAAGGAGCACTTTGACATGAAGGATCTTGGTGAGGTATCCAACTATCTTTCTCTGCAGGTGGAGAGGGACCAAGCAGGTAATTTTCTGGTACACCAAACACAGAAAATTGCTGATGTATTAACCAGGTTGAATTTGGTTGATGCAAACCCAGCAGACACACCGATGGTGACAGGTTACCAGGTAGATAGTACTGCTGAAGCGTTTTCTGACACAACGCTGTACAGATGCATCCTAGGCAAGTTGAATTTCATTGCTAGATGCTCAAGACCTGACATTGCTGTAAGCACTAACCTGCTTAGCAGACATGCTAACAATCCTACTGTTCAGGATCGGAAAGCTCTGAAGCGCATAGCCCGCTATTTGAAAGGGACTATGCACTACAGGCTGAGGTTCACCAGTCAGAAGACTGGAGGTCTTGAAATCTTTGCAGATGCAAGTTTTGGAAGTGACACCACGGATGGTACAAGCACTTCTGGAGTATGCTACATGTACAACCACTGCCTGTTTGACTGGTTGTGCAAGAAGCAGACGACAGTGAGCCTAAGTTCCTGTGAAGCAGAACTCAATGCTCTGTCATTTTCACTCATGGATTGTGAATGGTTGATGCAACTGTTTAAGGACATCGGGGTTTCTGTGAAATGTCCTATA